ACTTTCATTTAAAAAGAAAACTCTGAATTGGAAGACAATTATATTTGTTATTTTGCATGAATAGACCATGATGCCTTTGTGTACTTTTAACTACCAAGCAGTATTTTGAATAGTTAATACTAGAATATGTAATGCTGCAACTGCTCGAAAATGTATACTTTTGACCCTTTTTGCAGATCATAGTTGCGTACTTTTACTTGGTTTGGATGCAAGACTACTTGTAACAAATTATTGTGTAGTACAAATATGCAGTGTTATGGAAGTGAGGTTAGAAATCACTCATAACGTCTCATTTCACCTTCAGTTTCCAAGTAAAGTGTTGCTAAAATAATCATAAAACATATTCTTGTTATTAGTTATTAGTAGCAAGTTTGCTGAGCGTTACTAACTGCGTGCAACATGCAGATCAACAGTGCAAAACACACAAAATCACAATCCTTTAAAATCATTCTTTTTCATCGTTTGATTAACAAAATAATGAATTAAAAGCAAAACCGATAAAAGAGAAAAAAACACAGCTCCCCTCGTGTGTGTGGGGTCTAATGAAATATTCATTCATGTCTCTATTTAGCGGTTGAAGCTAAATGATTGCATCAAGCTGCTTTGAAGCAAGCGGGGCATTTGACTTGCAAATAGTGGAAAGGCGTTTGTAATTTAGCTCTGCGACCGCGAGCGAGGCGATGATATAATCATTGTCTATTTTTGAAGATGAATACAGACAAACAAAGCCACAGAATTAAGTGCCAGCGTGCCCCCTGTAATCAAGCTAAGTCAGTGAGTGGCACAGCAAGGTCCATGCTAATAGCCAATCGGCCGCTGCGTTGAAAACTTCTCCAAGCCATATGCCCTTGCAACAGGAGACAAGACGGACATTCATCTCATCAGCGGTGCAATTACTGGGATTAGAAAGGCATGCATGATTACAAACTAGTGTGAAAATAATTGTATTTCATCAGGGTCGACTTCTTGCTTACCAATCCATGCTTGGTGGAGAGGACGACGATGGGCAAGAGGAGACATTATCGCAACAGGACACAAAACAAAGTTCACATTAGGGTTTGCACAGTCATATAAAGTCAGGTATGTGGTCGTGAGGAGATGGCACCTGAAATAGGCCAGCGTGAGGTCAGAGGTCACGGGAAACACAGCTGCTTGTCCGGCCCCAATAGAGCCGTTATGCAATGTGTAGTATGTGTTAACGATGACGTCTCGAGTTTCCAGGCTCCTTGACATTAGGACAAAACTTGTGTCTTTCAAGGACAGCAGTGCTTCCATGGTCACCAGACAGGAAACTGTGAGAGCTTTTTTTTTTCTCAAATGTTGTCCTTTCTATACCGGCAAGCAGCCAATTGGCTTATAAGAATACAAGTTTGAGAATTAAGTGTTAAACCCCCAAACGTACAACATATCGAATGAATTAAATCAAATCTCACGTAACAAGAACGGCCGACTAGCACCTCAAAGCTAAGTAAATAACACACTATGTATTGTGTGTTTAACCTTAACACTGAGCTTTTTTACTGGCCATTATGGGCTAAAGTTTTTCTTTAACATATACAGTATTTATGAAAATATCTTGATTATAATGACTTAAGGTGAATTTGTGCTTCTGATTTTCTTCTAAGTAAGCCTTAGGGTAGTTCATTCAGCCATTGTAGTGTCTACACCTGAAAACCAGTCTTGGCATGGCTTCAGAGGCAAACAGTCAAACAGACCACACCTGATTGGGAATCATAGAGCAAACAATAAAATAATAAAACACATGTTACACATGAGGTGGTTTTTCCCACAATGAAAATATGATCTTTTTGTAAGCCGTTCAGGATCCAGTGCCGCCATGCTTTTGATGCTTCCTGATGCAACAAATCATAAAAAAATACTTAGTTAAAAATGACAGCGTGCACATTCCACATCCAGATAGGACATGCCCAGACGGCCGCACTCTCCCTGCTGGGGCAACTTGTTTCAAGCCAAAATATTGACAATACTGTACTGTTGTCATGCACAAAACAGTTCAAAGTTTGACTTCAAACTTGACAGGATGGAAGAGCATGTGATGCAGCATATAATAACCGACAGAATGAAATATGTTAGGTGCATTTCTCTGGAGCTTACCTGCGTCTTTCTGTACTCGATGAGCTGCGAGAGGCCGAAAACGGTGGCGACCGCCCCCCCGCCGACCATCGCCGTGTGTTTCAGAGCCTTCCTGAACGCCATGGCTCCTGCGGGAGGAAAGTGCAGTGAGGAGTTAGGGCCGGGAGACACTGTTTATGTACGGTGGGGGGGGGGAGGATCCAAAACACCTGTGAAGAAGGCGTGGAGAGGCAGAGGAGTGCTGTCTACTTGTGCACTAAATTAGAAGAAACCTTTTTAACTCTGAGCTAGTTTCCATAATAGGATACCAAATTGGTCTAGAGCCGCATTCAAATATAGAATAATAAGCAACTTATTCCCCCAATTCATAGTTTGGTGTAAAAAAATCTGGAAAAAAGTTAATAACTGTCAACTCTAGTTTTGTCCTGAGAACAGCCCAAATACCAAATTAATTAAATGCAGAAAATTAACACATTTGGGAAGCTGGAAAGGACATCCTTTGTGCTTGCAAAAAAGACTTTAATTGTGTCATAATTAGCCATTACATAATCAATAATGATCAAGTGTTCCCTTCCTTTCTCAATCATTTTGCTTAATAAAAAACACATTTGGAATGTCTTTCGCTTATTTTTGACATTTGGAAAGCCCACACGTTGACAGATTACTCAACAATGAAGAGGATTGTTAGCAGCTACTTCTTTGTAGGACTATGCAGTATAACCTCATGTCATGCCATCTTATACTGTAAGTCTGTGCATGTAGGCGAAATATTAGTTACTTAAATCTAGTAGCTAAAAGTTAATATATCAGGGGACATCAAATTCAGATATGTGGATGTGACGGAAATACACGAGAGGAAACACGACAAGAAAGGAAGCTCTGAGGCTTTCAAATGGACATTTAAATGAGTATGTGTATTTGAGTACAAGTCAGGATACCGTTTCCACCTTTAAACCAGCCGAACATGATACCATCTCAGCCACACAAAGCATTTGCATTCCCAACACACTGAGTAAAAGGCTGCAGCAGATTCCAATGCATTTGAATAAAACACAGATGGCACAAATGTCATGAATTAGTTTGGTGTAACAACTGACCTATTACAAGTGTTGTAAGTCAATAACAGCTCTGAAATAAGTCTCATTTACAGGAAGAGAAATGCACATTAAGATCATGGAATGCATCACTGGTTAGAAGGACCTTGCTTCAGGCAAATTAGCCTCTATCATTACCTGCTATATAGATACCAAAAGTAATACAAGCATAACATATAACTACAGCCCTCACTGTGATTGTGTTCTTTTTAACCAAACCCATGTAATTAAAAGCATCTTTATAGCACACCACATGCACACGCAGGCTGCTCATTACTGGAGAACATGACAATAATGACCTTTTGGACCAGGTATAGCAGTTTGAGCCACATGCCATGGGAAACGCTGGAGGCATGAGTGTGTGACATAACCAGAAAATAAACTGCTCATCCACTTGCATCAGCCTGTACTCATAATGAGTCAACAGAGAGGGGGGGGGGGGGCTTCCTGTGTAATGTGGGCTGGTCAGGCGAGGTCCATTGACATTTTCCACTATTTTTAAAAAGGCCTTTGTAGCCTATTTCTAGAAGGAAATGGAAATCCCCTGGGTAGTATTTATACACCACACACAGCAGGTGTGTGTGTGTGGGGGGGGGGGGGTATTGATTTATGATGGCAGGTTTGCTGTTATAGTTCCGATATCTTAGATACATGTCTGATCTTTGAAGTAAAAGCAATCGTCCTAACAGGCACGAATAAGCGTATTAACAGGTATATTAATCCAGAATACCTGTTAATAACACAAACAGGAAGGGAGGGGGGAAAAAGGGTTTACAATAATCGAAATTGACAGAAATACATAGCGTGTCTTTAGCTTTAACACCAGATGAGGAGTACTTAGGTCTTCATAGTCATACACTCACTAGCAAACCACCAGATGATGCGCTGCTTTTTGGCTCTACGCCAACAAAACACAGGGTTAGAAATTCGTCATACATATTTTAAAAAGTCCAGAAACACTCCATGATACAACACACATTCCCACTTACAGGATTTCTTGATTTGTGGCCGATTGAAACTCGCTTGGGGCGATGCAGGGCGGCGACTGAGGACATCGGTTGTTATCCAGAGCGTAGTGTTTGACAGCTACAACCAGGAAGTAGCGAAGCCCGGAGCGACGTAGCGGAGAGCCAATCAGAACGCGGCGCTCAGCTACGCTCGTTCAATGGCGTTCTAGTGGAGGCGGGGCCAGTCCGTTGACGTAAAGTAGTCCTCCTCCTCCTCCTCCTCCTCCTCCTCCTCCTCCTCCTCCTCCTCCTCCTCCTCCTCCTCCCCCCTCCTCTCCTCCTCCTCCTCCTCCTCCTCCTCCTCCTCCTCCTCCTCCTCCTCCTCCTCCTCCTCCTCCTCCTCCTCCTCCTCCTCCTCCTCCTCCTCCTCCTCCTCCTCCTCCTCGATAATAATAAAGAAGGAGAGAAGTGCCACCAGCTGTCGATTTTACTGTCTTCAGGACAGGAGGCTTAGAATAAAAATTAAAGCCCACAACATAAATATAGGCTGACATTTTAAGAAGTATGTCTCATGTAAACATGCTTGTTTTGAGCTGTAAAATGATGCTCCTCAATTTTAGATTAAAATAATCTGATGATTATTATACTAATTTAGCATTTTACATATTTTTTTATCAGGTTAAATATGTAAAAAATTATCCTTGGAAATTATCAAAGTGCAAGCATTATGTCCTAATGACATGAACCACATTCTCTGTCCACACTCCAGACCCTACCCCACCCCTGTGGCTCGTGCGTAATAGGGTTTGGCGAAAGCGTGCGCACCACGTAAACAAAAGCACATTGACGGTGCCACTGCCAGCCAGTCTGAGTGGGAGAAGTGACCATTCATTTCCATTTGTCTCCAGACAGAGTGGACTTTATACTGATCCTCACAGCACCACAGCAGAGATGGAGTTACTTCTCACTGTCCTGAACTGCATGGAGCTCTGAGGTATTGCATGTTCTTCTTTTTCTCTCAGATAAATGATGCTTGTCAGTTTAAAGCTTTCATGAAATGCTCACATGTTTTTTTTTTTTTTAAGGGGAAAAAGTGGACAATAACATAATCTGGAGAATAAGTAATAATCTAAGGTAATAAAGACTTGTATTAATGCTGTTGTTTATACTGCAACATATGTGTCTTAAAGGTCAACATTTTGAAAATGTATTCCTTACTGGCGCGTAATTTATTTTCATTGGACTTTGGCAATAACAAAAAAATATCAGAAACAAAATAGTGTATGAACTTTTTCCTCCACTTTAGACTGAATGTATTTGCCCATGCTTGCAGGGGCCATGCCGTGCGTTCAGACCCAGTGCGGCTCCTCTCCACAAGGAGCCAGCCCAGCCTCACAGAGCTCCGGCAGCTGCGACTTCCTCACCCCGGAGTTTGTCAAGTTCAGCATGGACCTTACCAACTGTGAAATATCAGCTGCAACGTCGGGTCCCACTTTTGGCCCTTTGGGGGATACCGGGTACGACGTAAAGCCCCCGTGCCTCTTCCAAATGCCACTTCAGGGAGAGCATCCGTGCGTAAAAGTGGAGGATGCGCACGGGTGTCCGCGCTATCAGCAGAACCACCTGCAGTCCGAAGATCTGCTCTCCTCCCCGGGATCGGTTTATTATTACCGGCCTCCTTCGCCGCGTACACCCATGACATCCAACTTCCAACACCAACCGGGACAGATATGGGAGGACTCCGGATCTCTGTACAGTTTTAGACAAGACTATTTGGCGGCGGCGGCGCACCGGAAAAACACACTTTCCAGATTCTCGCTGTTTTCCCTTAAACACGCGCAACACGGAAATCAAAGCTTGCCAACATGCCAAATGAAATTTGACGGGTCTCTCCACGTGTCCATGAACTTGGACGCACCCGGGGCGCACCAGCCTCTGGACAGCCCCGGGATTCTGGGCTCTATTAGTGCCCACGGAAAGCAGCCCGGATTGGGATTTCCTCACCCGCTGCAGTTTGCGCACAGCCACCATTTTATGGATTATCAGAGCCCTTGTTCTCCCAGCCGAGGGGAGCTGAGCACGGAGGGGCTGTGTGCGGTGTGCGGGGATAACGCAGCCTGCCAGCACTACGGAGTGCGCACCTGCGAAGGCTGCAAGGGTTTCTTCAAGGTTTGTTCACAACGCAACTTCATTTTAATGCTGAAAAACTATTTCAACTTGGATATTTTGCAGGCATCTCACATTTAGTATTCTGCAACGAATGCACACACAAAATTGTATTATTTCTGCCTGAATGTCCCCTAGTGATATACGCTTAAATTCCCACTGGGACTCCTGGTTGACCTCCTAAATTGCACTTCCTGATTGAAATGCACGTTTTGATCTCTTGACACACGTACGCGTTAAAGGGGCAAATGTCCTGCATGAAAGTGGCCACCAACGTGCCATGAATAAAAAACGTCCCCTTCCCCTCTCTGAAGGAGATTCCCGGGGCGATTCTCCAAATTATGACTGGCCACGACCCTGTATTTACCCAGACTGCCCTGTCCGCCTGCTGAATGCCTTAAACTGCCTCAAATGGCCCACAGGAGCAAGAGCGCATGCTGTTAATTTTAAAGGATCATTTAAGGTTTTCACTTTAGCCTTTAGGGAAGCTCCTGGAAAATGTGAATCATGTAAGACCCTTACAGAAATATTCCACGTGCCACCAGATTATCATCATCTCGCACAGGCATGTAGAAAGCCTCCTTTGTTGCCTTATAAACCTTTTGAGGACACCATTAGTTCTACAGATATTGTGATTAAAGCCTGTCCGATGCCAGCAGCAAAGAACAAGTTCGAAACTGCTTCTGTGTGACTTCATCTTGCATTTGCAGATCTTCTGAACTAAGGTCTTTTGGAGTCATTAAAATGAATGGATCTTAGCCAAATCACCCTTAAAAAAGAGGTTCAGAGAAAACGAGTGGATGGGAATGAAGTGTAGGTATTTATGCATAATATCACCAGTTTCTTTCTTCATGCAGCGGACCGTACAAAAAAAAGCCAAGTATGTGTGTTTGGCTGCTAAAAGCTGCCTTGTGGACAAACGCAGGAGGAACCGATGTCAATACTGTCGCTTCCAGAAGTGCCTCGTCGTGGGGATGGTCAAAGAAGGTATAAGCCCAATTAAAAAAAACGTTAGATATTCCATAATGGTGTTTCAAATGTAACTGAGAAGTTTTCTCTTCATGCTCTGCAGTGGTGAGGACAGACGGTCTGAAAGGTCGCAGGGGTCGCCTGCCGTCTAAACCCAAAACGGTTCCTGAGTCGTCTCCGCCTGTCAGCACCCTCCTGAGCAGCCTCATCAGGGCACATGTGGAGTCCAACCCTCCACCTTCTCGCCTTGAATACTTCAAAGTAAAGCATACTTTCATTACTTTATCAGGGGCGGTTCTGGGGGGGGGGGCCAACAGGGGCCAGTGCCCCCGTAACACTGACCAGGTACCCCCCTGTGGCCCCCCTCCAAAAAAAAGGTTACAATATTACGATTTCTTGGAACTAAATCAAATCAGAGACCCGGATGTACAGTGGAGATGAAACTGTTACCTTATATAAAAGCAAATACTGTTTATGTTTTTTATGAAATTGTCACTTAAATTTACTAAAACAAATGACTTTACAAAAACAAATACCAATTACTGAATTTTATATTTATTTTACACAATTACTTTATACTGTCTTTGTCTTTTTAACCCGATTATATTGTGCCCCTCTCGTGAAATAACTGGCCCCAGCCGGGCCCCCCCAGTCAAATTGGTCTAGAACCACCACTGATTTTATACCAATAAGCGAGGTGTTAAATGCCCACAAAACCGCATATCAATAATAATAATATTAATAATAAACTTTATTTGTATAGCACCTTTCATGCATAAAGCATCCCAAAGTGCTTTACAGAACAAGAAGAAAACACAACAACAATATTAAAATAAATACAGAACAAGACAAAACATCAACAGTGATCCTAATGAAATTCCCTTGAAGTAAAGCTGTCAAGAAATTAAAAAAGGTTACATTTAAAAAAGAAAATTCAAAATGTAAAATAAAAGCAGAACAGAAAAAATACAGTCAAACATGGACAATGAGTGACAATTGAAAGTTAACCCAAACTAAAGGCCATATTCAAAAATAGGTTTTGAATTTGCCGTTCTATATTAGAGCCGTGACTGATGTGACCTTTCCCACAGTTCAAGGAGAGTCCACCAGGAGAGGACGCTCAGCATGTGCGGCAGTTTTATGACCTGCTGACCCGATCCATGGATGTGATTCGAGGTTGGGCGCAGAAGATCCCGGGCTTCACCTCCCTTCCCAAACACGACCAAGACCTCCTGTTCTACTCCGCTTTCCTGGAGCTCTTTGTGTTACGACTGTCATACAGGTAAAGAGAAGGCATGTGTATGGGGCCTTAAGGAGTTGTTTTCCTGTTTCAGATCCAGAGGTGGGAAGTAGTGGAGTACAAATACTTTGTTACTGTACTTAAGCACATGTTTCTGGTATCAGTACTTTACTCCACTACTTATTTTCTGACGACCTTTTACTTTTTTGAACACAAATACCTGTACTTTCTACTTCTTACATGTTGAACACAAATACCTGTACTTTCTACTTCTTACATGTTGAACACAAATACCTGTACTTTCTACTTCTTACATTTTCCAAATAGGCTGGTTCCTTTAGTCTGAATGTGTGTTTGGTGGCGTGATCATTATTCTTTAGAGTCATTGCGTGCCTATTGATTTGAACACGATCCGTGTATCCATCATTTCCTGGTCTTCTCTAAAGAAGAGGGACCAATGAAAACGTTGTCATGTTGCCGTTGTTCAGCATGGAAACATTCATTAGCTAACAATGACATTATTGTTCTATTGATATAAAGGGAGGTCAGGTACTCTTTAAAACAGCTGCTAGCTATGGGTACTTTTTACTGAAGTACATTTCGAAGCCTCTTTACTTTTACTTGAGTAAAAAAGTTTAATCAGTACTTCTACTTTTACCAGAGTATTTTTAAACGCAAGCATTTGTACTTCTACTTGAGTAAAGGATGTGTGTACTTTTGCCACCTCTGTTCAGATCCAACCCGGAGGAAGGGGAGCTGATGTTCTGCGACGGCTCCGTGTGGCACCGGCTGCAGTGCCTGAGGGGTTTCGGGGAGTGGATCGACGGCATCGTTGAATTCTCCTCTAACCTCCAGAGGATGAACCTGAACATGTCCACATTCTCCTGCTTATGCACCCTGACTCTGGTCACCGGTGAGATGCTAAAATGCACTTTTGTTTGCCCACTTACGCATGTTATTAGTCTTTAAATGTGTAAGAAGTTGGACCTGGTATCACCATAAACTCATCTCTCTCATTTGGATGATGCAGAGAGGTTTAAGGGCCTGGACGTCATGTAGGATAAACCAGAACTGAATATACAGATTCAAAAAACTAGACCTACTTCCTGCAAATATGGCTTTTGTTAGACATATTTGTTTAAAAATAGTTTTCATTAAAAGTTGGAAAACTATAACAAACATTAGTTACAGTTGTATTTGTATTGTAGGAAAATACATTCAGTCTAAAGTGGAGGAAAAAGGTCATACACTATTTTGTATCTGATATTAAACATTATTTATTTATTTTTGCAGCAAAGAATTTTTCTTAGTTATCTTTTCTTTAACTATTGTACATATTTGAAAAAATAAAATAATACATATGAGAGTAAGGATGTGAAAGGGCTTTAGTGTAAAAAAAAAAAAATGACTTTTGTAACAAAATGATTAGGTGGAAAAATAAATAGTCCTCAAACTACGAAATAATAAAAGTAACAAATAAACTGTTGAATGTAATTATTTCACAATAAAGCCTTTAAAAATGAGGCCGTCCAAAGTTAGCAAGATCTTCCAAACATTTGAGAAAATAATTAAGATGTCACTGTCTTGTGCTCAGTTGTGTTCACTGTCTGTTTTTCTGACCTGTGTTTTTCGGCAGCAGAGCGGCACGGGCTGAAGGAGCCTCAGAAGGTGGAGGAGCTGCAGAACAGAATCATCAAATGTTTGCAGGACGCAGACTCAGACTGCTGCTCCAACCGTTTGTCCAGACTTTTGGAAAAACTGCGAGAACTCCGCACTCTGTGCATCCAAGGCCTGCAGAGGATTTTCTATTTGAAGCTGGAGGATTTGGTGCCGCCGCCTGCAATAATAGACAAGTTATTCCTGGACACGTTGCCGTTTTAGAGACACGACAGAATACACAGGGGGACGTTTGCTCCTTTTTCACTTCTTTGGATTTCATTCCAACAGTTTGACATATGTGCACTACATAAAAAGACATTTTAAAATCTGATATTGAGTTGTTAAATTGCATTTTTCAGTTAAAATGAGACTGAAAACTAATTTATTTCAACACTTAATTACCTTGGATTATGAAGGAAACATGAATTTAGTCTGTAATTTAAATTATCATCTTATTTTGCAATGTGATTTTAACTGCTTGTCAGGCCAACACTATTGACTGTAATTGTATTATAGGTTTTACACTCTTATGAAGAGGCAGTTTTTATACAAGAAATGTGTTTCCAATATTGTTTTTCATCACATATTAGTCATATAGTGATTAATATAATAACAGTAATGTTCAGTAGTCCATCATGGTCTGGTGTTCTTAGATTAAAGTGTCATTGTCCATGTTTTAATAAAGAAATGATCATTACTTCTGCAGCTGCTCGACTGTTCTTTTTCTAACTTAATTTCTGAATTTTATTTAAAACAAATTCCAAGATTTTTAACTATCATCAATATTCATGTTGCAAATCTCAAGTTTCAATGTTTAAATGGATGTTTTTAATGGGTTCAGTGCAGTGAGGTATTGGTGAACCCCGGAAATCTCCACTTTATGGGATGGAATAATGGCTCCCACCTTTCCAAACCTCCTCTGGTGGAATAAAAAGGGCATTTCTGAAAGGTGTGCTGACATTTACCCGGGTCAGTCCCGGGCTTTGTGTGGACAGGAAGCTCTTTCAGCTGTGTTTCAATGGACACCTGTCAATCAGCACAAACAAGGAGGAAGAGGATTATTAACAACCATACTGCAAACACTACTTTGATTTAAATCACCATGACTTTTCAATAGATACAAAACCGTCTCTAAACAACTTAAAGGTCCCCTATTATACTGTTTTACATCAATATATTATAGGTCTCTGATATATACAGACCTGTCTGTGATTGGCTGAAACACCAAACAGATCATTGCCGCATCCCATAATCCCCTCTGTTCCAGCCCTGTTTCCAAAGTGCGGATTCTCTGTCTGTTACTTTAGATGAAAATAAGGAGCCCCTCCCCACGCCACTCTGAGAGAGATTTGGTTACAAAGAACTCAATGGTGCTCTAGGAGGAGATTCAGGTGATAAGGGGGGGGGGGGGGGGTTACCTTGGTTGCTGATTGGCTAATGGTTACACAAGACAAAACATCGTTATGACATCATATAGTGGCCAAAATCTGATCAGCTCATTTTCAGACAGGTTTTTATAGAAATGGATCAGGACAAAAAGAGAGAGAATCTTTGTTCCTGAAACTTTCAGAGTCTATTTCCACAGAGGTGATGGTGATGTAGAAAAAAAGTGGATGTCGCATAATAGGTGACCTTTAAATATATAATTTAGTGTTATTTATGCATCATTCAGACACAATTGGCCTCCCTCAGTCAGCTGATGACTTCATATAAGTCTCCTTGGAGTGTTTCCTCCCCTCAAAGGGAGTCACATGGTGAAGATTTCCAGTCGATTGATCTTGTTCCCCTGATTCGTCACAAAGTCGCTCTAAGCTGTGAGGAGGAAGAGGAGGAAGAGGAGCCGGGGGCCAGACGTGATATTTCCGTCTGTCGTGTGTGTGACCTGCCCTTTCCATCACCTCCCTGCTCAGGATTCCTTTTGTTTTTCCTCCTGAGAGAAGACAAAAGACATACTTGATTTTAAACAGTGAAGGTCAAAGAGTGCCTGCAGTGTGTGATCTGGAAGTCCTTCCTGTGCCCTTTGACCCCCGGAAGCTCTCAAGCTGCAGCTCATGCTCACTTGTGTGTGAAGGATGACATTTACTTCTATTCAAATTAACCGGAAATGTATGCATTCATAAGAAAAACATGCATACTTTTTCATTTCTAATGGCTTTGTTCCTTCAGCAACCTGAAAGACCTGGAGCAAACTGTCCAGAGGAACCCAAGCTGGTAGATATTACCCAGAAGACTTTAGGCTATTATTCTTGTCATTGCACCAAATAACAATACTTTTGCATGACACTGTATTTTCTAAAATATTATGACCATATGTCTGGTCCAGCTGACATTTTGCATGCTTTTCTGCTTTAAAAAAATCACATAATTGTCCTTTTAGACATTAACCAATCTCAGTTTATTATTATAAATATATATATTACCCCGCATAGACTTCCAGTACCTGCATCAGGGATTACTGGGAATTAACCAAAACACTCGTATTAATGTTGGGTCTCGATAGATGTCAGTTGAGTCAAGATTTTCGCCTTTTTTAACTCAGAAATTAGGTTTAATATTGTGTAAAGGTCTATTGACCATACATTTCCAAAAACAAGAGTAAAACATATGGTAATAAATCAGAATAATTGGCTTAAAGGTGCAACACATGTTTGGGTGATTATGTATACTGTAATCTATAGAGAACAAGTTGCAGTTGATAGGAAGACAACACACGGGTTAATAGCAATATTTTTACATTGCTTATTTCAATTGTAGTCTTACCTCTACTATGATAACCCTGCATCAAACTAACTGCTGTGTTCCTGGGCCGGATGCTCCAGATCTGGGTTCTTCGGAGTGGACAGCAGAGGGCGCCGCAGCTAAGGGAAAAACACAGTTAATTAAAATCTGGTATTCAGTTTAAAATGTCGAAATTATATATTAATATATGATCAAAATAATAGATACATTCCTATTATAGCATGTTGAAAATATCACAAAAATTCAGGGTATGAGAATGTTAAAATATCATGAATTTAATCATAGTATAGTACATCACAAAAAATATATAAAAAGCAAAATGATACTTTAAAGACATTCAAAAGTCTATAGAAAACCTGAAATGTAATTGAATAGTTTTAGTGAAAAAAAGTCATAGCATAGCATGAATGAAAAAATAAACCAAAATATAACAATTTCAATGTATTAAAAGAAATGTATCTGTGTGTATAAAAATATATATTTGTGTTAAATGTTTAAAATTGGTTTATTTTTTACAATTTAAAAAGAACAGTAAAAACCTGAGCTTGCTTTTACCATTTGTTTATTCTTTGCACACATTGAAATTACAGGTTTTATACCATTATAATAATACATATAACAAATATCCACAACATATCAAAAGTAATTGCTGAATGAAAGTGGTTAAGAAAATAAGAGCACCTCTCAATATATCCACCCAGAAACCTAATCATTGGTAAGGTTGCCCATGACGACAGGTGGTATCAATAGACTGGACTGCGCTGCTATTGATCAGCAGAGTTGACGAGAACCAATGATATCGTAGAATTGTACTTTGTTGATATTGTACAATTCAAATGTTCCATTAAAAAATAACTTTAATCTAGTCAGATCAGAAGGTTGAGGAATAGGTTGTGCAACATCATATCAAATAAAAAGTGATCCAAAATGATAATTTGAAAATGTTCATGAATTATAATGTATTATTTGGTTGACTAGATATTGTAGGAATTCTAGGATCAAAGACTGAAAGCCAAATAAATGATAAGGTGCGCTTTGGGAGCAGTATGGCCATGCTAAGAGAGATAAATCAGGGTTACAAAATGACTAATCCAAATTGAAATTGTACAATTATTAAGTAATACCAGAAATGATTTGCGATCATGCGTCACATTAGAGCTGGGTTCAAGAAGCCTTGGAGTCTCCATTGTCCTCTCTGGGTTTTCTGTTCAAGGCACCTCAGTCCTGTTGTTGATGCTGTCAACAAACACACACCAACGTTGTGTCTGTACACTGTATGTCACGCACTGTGAACATGAATTTCCACCAAATTGTCAAATGCCATGGGGTGACTATTAGCCGTTAGCTAGCTAGCTCTCGAGCAACAACATAGTACCAAATCATTCCAGACTGCTCAATTAGCCCTAAACAATGAATTCTTGCTTCTTTTTGACACCATTATAGTGGTACGTTACTTAGGAAAAATAACAATGTGTAGCACTTTTATTCGTAGTGCTGTTTTTTTTACCATAGCAACCGCACAGTAGATCTAGTATCAACTTTGTGGGTGTACCAGGTACACATTTTGCCATACTATTGGGACACACGTATGTGCTCAAAACAGCAAATGTAAGTACAGAAAAATGCACAAAGCTCTGTTGAGCCCATGTTAGAATCTATGGCAGAACGGCACACTGGCACTTCAATGGCTAATCCACATGGAACAAATAAGGCAAGGGCATGCACATGGTCACACACACATATACATGTTCTGTTATCAAAGACAAACTTGCACCTCTGAGATGATATGAAAAACGTTCATATCATTTTTGTTTCTTTACAATAAGCTGTACAACTTTCCCATCATATCAAATAATGAACATCATCAAGATTGGAGATACCATTGCACTTGACAACAATAATACACACGCGCACACACACACACACACACTGACAGGAGTTATTCTACTACACTTAATATTTAAACCCCAACATTTTTTCTACTCAACTGTCCAGTGTCCAGCTAAGTGAGCATCAACACACACCCATATGCATCTATATTGACAGGACTGGGAGTTACAACATTAAAGATTGTTTTTCAGCTTCAGTCAACTTCATCTCTGATATCTTGGTGCTTTTCAGTCACATCATATTAAGCATCATAAAAAAATACAATACTTATATTAACCCAAGGCTAGTAATTTGGCTATTGACAAACAGACACGACTGATTCAATGCACAGTTTGGCCAGGAGACTTAACATTAAGAGCACAACTACAGGAAAGGAGACAACTGATCACAGAGGTCAAACAACTAACTGTTTTCAGATAAGGTCACATACAGCATAACACTATACAACTATAGTTCAAAAGAACACTAACTCAGGAATACATGTTTTTATTTTACATGGAACGCAATGCTTTTGATGAGCTGAGATTGGAGACAGATGGCAGAAAAGGAGCTATTTGATTTAAGGCTTTGGGAACTGAATGAAGAGGCACCACTCACAACAACTGCAGGAACACTTTTTGGTAGGGAATTACACCCAGGGTTTCCCACACAGACTATACTTGGGAGGGCCGCCCAGGTATATTAACGGCCGCCCAAGTATATTTCGCGACCCATTTAGGTTTTTTTTATATATATTTTTTTATTCAATTAAATTCAAAACCTTTATTTATCCAGGTGAAATCCCATTGAGATCATTAATCTCTTTTTCATTCGTCCGTGACCACGACGCCATCTGCGATTGATTAACTTGTGGACAATGATCCCTTGCTCTACGCCTCCTGTACCCAGTCCCGGACTGGCCATCGGGAGGACCGGGGGGTTTCCCGATGGCCTGGCCTGTTAAGTGGCCTGCCTCACACAGGGTGACTGGCCGACATGGCCACTGTCATACAGATCATAAATCAAAGCCCTTGATTGGTCTCTGTGTGTCATTCAGGTGAGGTAAAGGACTCCCTGAGTGTTTAGATAGTTAACTCAGTCTAAGTTCTCAGTGGGTCTCAAACGGTTTGGTCACCATTTATGTGAACACATATTTCCATTTGAGGGGGGAGTGGTTAGTAAAATATGCATGAATAAATAAATGAAAAGTTAACTAGGTGAAAAAAGGTAAGATACACTTTTAAAACTTGTTGAGAGCTAAAACTAGTCTTTGCTGCTGCCTCAAAGAGGAGCAGGGAGGAGAGGAGGGAGAGGAGGGAGAGGAGGGAGAGGAGGGAGAGGAGGGAGACAGGAGAGAGACAGGAGAGGCTGATTCAGGAGCACAGACACACTCACAACTATAAATGAACAAAAAATAAATAAATAAACAAGTTTCAGTGTTTTTTTCATATTGGAAATGGTATGTTATTGGTTATGGCCATGATTTTATGATTATTGAAATGTATCCAGTTCTGTTTCATATAGGTGTTTCCATAGATCTCGTCTCTTTATTTTCCCCTCAAAGTGCACCAGATTGATGCATTTAACTCCAACATTTATAAAAAAAATCTTACCGGGGGAGCATGCCCCCGGACCCCCCTAGAGGATTTGAAGTCCACCCCCACTTAAAATCACATTGATAGGTTCCTAAATACATTTACCATTTATTTTTTTAAATAGTAACCCATGTCCATGTGTTTATTTGTGGGTAGTAGATTTAAACTATAGGGCTAATACTATGGGCTGTACCTGTTCGCTCTGCCATCGCGTGAGGGGTCTGCTAACAAGCGACCAACAGAAAGGTTCATGTTAATGTTGTTGCACGTCACCTCAACCCCCCCCCCCCCCCCCCCCCCCCAAGTATATTTCAGATCTGTGGGAAACACTGTACACCTAATGAAAAGATTGTAAGAAACAAGTGAACATGGAGCGTTTGGAATCACTACCTTAAGCTACATTAACACACACTAGTGCAGTAATGACACCCAGTAAGCAAAGGCTGCAAAGCAAAGAGTGATGGAGTTTTGGCTCTTGGGTTTCAGTTTGACTTCTCGGTCTGATCGGTCAAGTCTTAAACTTTGTGATTAAAGTCCTAAAGAACTGCTTTCTGTCATGCTCAAATAACCTGATGGTGGCTCTCTAATTAATCAAATGTGTAATCTGTATTTAGCAGACTGTTACAGCTGAGCTTATGGCTAATATCAATTTAATACTTAATAATGTATTTAGTCTGGTCATTTCACAAAACACCTTATCACAGGTCTGAGGGGATAATGTATGAACAATACTTAAAAATAGCCCCCATACTGTGGCAACAAGAAAATCCCTATCAAGCATTTGTGGTTATATAAAAAAGTGCATGTGTGTGTTATTTAAGTGCACGTCTTGTTGTGGTTTACCCCTGACTACGAGACCATTATGACCAGAAACCCTTATACAGCTTAAACTAACTTCATCAGCGGCATAAGCATTAACCAAAAGTCAACAGGGCGTCAAATTGTGTAAAGGAATATGCTGTTCTACGGAAAAAACTTTTGAGATGTGACCAGAATTCTGACTTTAATCTCAGAATATTTAGAAAAAAGTCAGAATTTTAATTAACCTGAGACGTTCACGCACCTCCGTAATCTTCAAGTTTGGCATCATAACAAAGAGGCCGTTTGGTTTTCTGAGTCTGCACCTAAAAATGAGGATGTATCGCCCTGACTACAGGTGTTATGGCAGAGGTATACAGGGAAGTCCAGCTGCTATTCATCTGTGTATAGAAGTTAAACATGATAGGGCGGGCCAGAGACGCCTAAATACAATAAACACAAACATGTAGGTTGGTTGGGAGGGCTGGAAAACAGAGCTGTAGGTGTGTGAGACTCACCATGCATTCACATTGGAACACAACCAATATTTTTACTTGATTTAAGCCAAGGAAGATAAACTGATCATGGTACAACACTTAAAAGTGTGCTAGCCTGAATTGTATCTTCATTTTCATCTAGGGAGGAGGATACATGTGAAACTTGGAGATATTTCTCTCTCTTTTTTCTATTCCTGACCAAAATGAAGGATATCGCCACCTTCTTTAATTCTGTTAATATGTGCTGTGAGTTTATTCAAAGTGATTATTTCTGTAAATCTATATAATCTTGTTTTTGGTTTGTTCATGATTACTGTTACATCATGAGGCTGAATGACAGACAGCAGAAGCAGAAAGAATATATGACTCGCCACTTTGAAGTTGAATCAGCGTCTCCAAATTCCTATCATACCAGTGTGAATGTGGGCAAGCCAACAAAGTATTTCCTGTTGACGTGTGTGCTATAACTCGTTTATTGTAAGGGTTATTTGCCTGCAGTCTAATATTTCTCCTATATCCATCTTGGTGCCTCGAGTCACATGGAAATGGAGGCTCTATATAAAGACAATGCTAATCAGAATGTAGAGAATGGTGTGAGCAGAATTAATTTTCAGAGTGTCTACTGTTTTGATGGACTGGCTGGAAGAGAGCCTGCAGGATGGAAGGTGGAGGGGGGGGTTTAGGTGAAGACCAGGTGCTGTTGGTCCAGCAGGATTCTGGTGAAGTTGTTGATTGGCCCAATGGCACTGAGTGACATAGCGTTGTCCCGCCCCCAGAGCAGGTTAGGCCCAAACACCACAGCCAGGTTACTGTTGGTCATCTTATTCACCTCACTGTTGGCTGACACCTGAACACACACACACACACACACACACACAGGTTACTGGTGATTGCAGACCAGCTGCTGATATTCTGAAATATAGTAGGTGTGTTCCATGTGTACCTGGGCCAGGAATGAGATGAGGTACCGCAGTGACACGTTGTTCTCCTCTGGCAGAGACTCCATCAGGGTCTTCAGCTGCTCCACCTGGCTGTCAGTGGGTACAGCTGAACACAACACAAGCACCAATCAGAGCTCAGGACACTGGAGGGAGCATGGAGACAGTGGCAGCGATACATATTCCAGATAGAAAGAAGCTGTCACAGCAGCATGTTGACAGTAAATCTTCAGGAATGACAAAATGACTTAAATAATAGAATAAAAAATACAAATAAAATAACCCTAAAACAAAATCCCCAAAAATAATAATCAGGAAACACAGTGGAAGCTGCTGCAACAGGCTGCCATCTCCGCCGTCTGATTGTGCTTCTGTACACTCCTAGACTTAGTTTCCATTTCAAACAACCTCTGTATAATATTAAACCTGCTTCTCAGGTCTGTTTACTTTCTATTTATTATTATTACGTTTTGTTTTCTATTTTTGGGGCACTTAATAGAATGATCTGTCAATCAAACTGTATTATCAATGTGACTCCAAATAAAGAGTAACAAATTAATTTAAAAAAACAGGGTTACTATATGTGTACACTTTACATATATATATACGGTATTTATATATAAATCTATATATGCAAAGTCTTTGGAGGGGTATGAATCTGAATCTTTCATCAAATCTTGATTACTATCAAATGTATAAGTACTGTAAGTACTTTTCAAAAAATGTGTAATGAAATATATTATATTGGCGCAGAATTGACAATCCAAAATGCAATAGTCATAACTAAAGTGAAGGAACCTGATGGGGATAACACTGATGCTGCTACCTCATACTTCAAAGTTGTAAAGTTGATATCATTTGTTTTCTGAATAATTATAGTTTCTAATTCCAGCAGAATGAGATTCCTAGAAACTCTGACGCTGAAATGAAAAGAGTGTAATTCCAACATACAGCTGAAGTTGACGATGTCGTTGTAGAGCTGGTAGGTGAGGAGGGGCTCAGGCAGCTCCCTCAGGAATGTCTTCAGGATCACAGCAGCCAAGTGGACATCTTCCATCTCTCTGAAATTCACTGTTGCCCCTAGAAAGCACACAAACACACATCACCGCTGAGTCCATCCTAACTCCAAATACACTGCACTCATCACTAGTTGTTTTTCTGCGCTTCATACACCCTGCCATGAGTCTTCACCACGCTTTACCACTTCCCCTGTAGACGGGAAGTTAAAACACACTTCCTTGTTGCTCAAACACAGTGAGATGAATAGAATGGTTAACCAGGTCATTGATCATACCCGAGTTGTACTGGAGCTGTGTCTGCTTTACCAACGTCACGTTAGCAGAACGTCTGAAGATCCCTTCGATCTCCAAACCTAACAGAGAGAAAGACATTCATTACTGAGGACAAAAGGATCAATGATGTGTCTCTAATTTGACCAACAGAAGAAGAGTTACCTTGCTCTGAAAGGAAGTTGATGGTGTCTCTCATCACCACGGGAACTGGATCCTCATCTTGACTCCTTTGTTTGAGTCTGACATACAAACATGTACCATACAGTTAATTATTGAAAGTATATACTGTCTTTAATACAGTAACCATCATTCGTTTAGCATTTAGAGTAAAGAAGTATCCCAGTAGAGAGTTGCTTAAAGGGAAGTACCTAATATCAGTAGATCTAACACACACACCAGCAGAGATGTGGTCACTTACATTGCAAGTGGCACCCCAAACACCTGGTTGGGGAGGGGAGGGCTATGAAGAGGAGACACGGGGGGCTCAGCGCCTGATTTCAGAGACGCTCTCAACTTGTTGTCGTACCTTGAACAGAAACAAACCAAAAGATCAGTTATGGCTCAGGATGGGATATAGAATTGAAAGTAGAGACAGTAATGTGTTCTGAAGTCATTTGTTTTATCACATTACTTTACAAAGATAGGAAATCAATAGCAGATATGACTTGTGTATCATTTTTAAAAAAGTGCACCTTTTGCAGAAGTACATTTGATCAGCCTCTTACTCTTTGACCGGGGGCAGGAATGATTCAGCTGCTCACACTTCACCACACTACACTACAGCTCACTCAAGATAACTCACGTAGGTTTATCTTCCTTCCAAACTTAAGACTGCAGAGAGAGAGTAGACGTGCGAGAGCGAGAGATGAGGAGAGAGAGACGAGCGAGAGCGACGACAGAGAGAGCGAGAGAGAGAGCGCGAGACGAGAGGCGAGAGGAGAGCAGACAGCGAGAGAGCGAGAGCGAGAGAGGAGAGAGAGAGCGAGAGAGAGAGAGAGAGAGAGAGAACATCCAGCGGTTAAAATGGAAAAAAGGATTCTGCCAAATAGGTGACCTTTAAATAAATGTCACTATTGTTGCCATCTGAGGTAAACATTAATGATGAGCCGATGACCTTCTGATTAAAGAATCACAATATTCATATATTTACAGTATGTTGGCTTACAATAATGCTCGATATAAGTTACACACATTTACTACAGCTGCAACAAGTTGGCATTTCTTATGGAGCGGTAACAGAAAAGCCAATGTGTCTGTTAGTGGGTCAGCAGGTCAGTTTGAAATATTGCAGTATATTAAAACTCAATTTCAACTCAAAGTGTCCTGCTGACAAGAAAAGTGTCAAACAAGAGTGGCTTACATTCTAAAAGGGTGAAGAAAATCTTATGCTTGCATTTGGCTAAGTACATTTCTGTCATGTGTATTAATATGTGTAACTTTACAAACAAAGAGAACCTGATAAATGGTTTGAAGAGGATCAGTAGAGTCTTGATGAACATGGTAGGGTGGACGATATACAACGCCTTGATGTTCTTCTTATACCTGAAACACAGAGAATATTCTATAAGGTCCACATGACAAGGATAAGGTTCTGAGGTATAGTATCTGCTCATTTCACTGAGGCATGCACTGTACTGATCACTTTAAAACCACCGTTAAGATTCGATTTCTAGCTCAATCTTTCTGCATGTTGATGTATTGTTCCATATATAATACATATATAAGTACCACAAATGTAGCCAAACTGCAGATAATATAGTACTTTAAAACATCACAACTACATCTGGGAGGTGTGTGGTGCAGTGGGTTGTGCGTTGGTGTTCGGATCAGGGGAGGTTCAAACCCCACTGCAGTCAGCATGTCGTTGTGAGACACTTCACCCCAAATTGCTCCTGTGGGGATTGTCCACAGTATTGAGTATGGAAGTCGCTTTGGATAAAAGCGTCTAACATGTGACATGTAATGTAATCTCTGTAATCTGTTGGTGTCATGCTCAAATAGCAAGTTTTGTTTTCTAAAACTATTTAGTATGATAAACACTCCTAAATGGAGGATGCAATAGGCAAGGAGGTCAAGGGTGGAGAAAAAGATGTGTAGATGGATTGAAATGTGTCTTATATTGTAAATTCATTTATATAAAATACACATAACTGTGTGTGCTTTATTTCACATGAACTTGAGAAGTTTGTTCTATCATCTCCCATAGTTATTTCATTAGTCATGCTGTGACTTTTGCAAACCGTACTCCACAGCTGTTAGACTGATCATTAAATCCAAGGAGGCTAATCTAGTCCGTCTTGAAAAAGCAGTGATGCGTTGTCAACATATTGTTGTCATAGAAACATTTGAAAAAGCCTTGGGAGGGTTTTTGAGGATAGTATGTTGACACAGCAGCTCAGGAACACTTGTCGTGTGAGTCGTTGCGCTTACTTTCTGTCAAACTCCCTGTATGCATCCCGCAGCCAGCTGAGAGAGGGTTTGTTTTCACTGGTCAGCCCATGATGGAAATAGATCAGAGTGTAATCACTTTCAACATACTGATCCAGTGTTCCTTTAAGATACCTGCAATGAGAATAATAAAACATGACACTTTCATTTAAATACATGTGTGTATTTGGACTGCATTTAGATGTTTACTGGTTCTTACATCAGCAGCTTGTGATGGTCCAGTTGGTGATGTGGAGGCATCCTACATGCGTTAAACACTATCACCTTCCTGCCAAAGTTATCATCACCTACAAACAGAAAACACACATGGATTCAACATTATCATGACCTGTTGTTGTTTCAAAAACAGTGGTTCTGCTGTTAAATAAGTTGATAAGCACTCCAAATGTTACAAATTGACCTGCACATTTAAGCCCCGGTATTAAACGGGCCCCGGAGCTGAATTATTAAAGACCGTGGTACCGTTAAGCTCCGACGTTAGCGGTCTTTTTATCGGTACTGGAGACATGTAAAAAATATATGTCATTTGTATTATTGCTACTCAAACATTATATTGCAGTTTTAGTGTCGCCAACTCCGTTTCTAATACGCAATTAGTATTTTCGATCTTTCCAATCCAGACGAGAGATATCTCTCTCCCGCCTGCTTGTGAGGGGGCGGGGCAGTTGCCACACACACACACACACACACACCACACACACACACACACACACACACACACACACACACAACACACACACACACACACACACACCACACCACACACACACACACACCACACACACACACACACACACACACACACCACACACACACACACACACACACACACACACACACACCACACACACACACACACACACACACCACACACACACACACACACAACACACACACACACACACACACACCACACACACACACACACACACACACACACACACACACACACACACACACACACACACACACACACACACACGGAGTGAACGCGCTCCGAGGTGTGGTTAAACTTTACCCGTCTCGATGTGGACAATACTCGTTACCAAAAGTGCAATAAGAGTTGAGCATGTAAGGGCGGTAACACGAGCAATTTGTCTAAACATTTAGCAAAAGTGCTCCACATCCAGACGGAGAAATGCACCGGGTTCGACTGTCTTTCTAGTAGCTCTGTAGCCCCGTCCACGTTTCCATGTCAGGTATTATGTATGCTAGCAGCAACACACAGAGTTAACTCCATTCTACAAACATGGGTTAATGATTAGAGGTAAGGCAAGGCAAGTTTATTTATATAGCACCTTTCAACACAAGGCAATTCAAGGTGCTTTACAAAAATGAAAGACATTCAGACAAAGGCATTTAAAAACAGTCATTAAAAAGAAAAGATAATAAAAGAAACATTAAAAGAAAAAATACATGAATAAAAAGTTACAGTGCAGTTTAAGATGTGAATAGTTCACACAGAAGTTCCACTTTACTGATGCCTTTCTTTAAGGTTTCTCCGAACATGAGCTGTGTACTCTTGTATGGCACGGCACATACGTCCCGAGCAGCATACACAGAGAAAATCAACCAGGAAAAAGTCCCCAGACACTGATTCCCTGGGGTTACTAGCCTCAAATGTTCATTAACCAAAAACGAAAACACAACCGCTCAGTTTCAATTAAAAGCAGCGGCAAAAAGAAAAGTCTTCAGCCTGGATTTAAAAGTAGTAAGAGTTGCAGCGGACCTGCAGGTTTCTGGGAGTTTGTTCCAGATGTTTGGAGCATAACAACTGGACGCTGCTTCTCCATGTTTAGTTCTGACTCTGGGGACAGAAAGCTGACCAGTCCCTGAAGACCTGAGAGATCTGGATGGTTCATAATTTAGCAGGAGGTCAGAAATGTATTTTGGGCCTAAACCATTCAGTGCTTTATAAACCAGCAGCAGTATTTTGAAATCTATTCTTTGACACACAGGAAGCCAGTGTAAAGACTTCAGAACAGGAGTGATGTGATCCACTTTCTTAGTGTTAGTGAGGACTCGAGCAGCAGCGTTCTGAATCAGCTGCAGCTTTCCAATAGATGTTTTAGTGAGACCTGTGAAGACACCATTGCAGTAGTCGAGTCTACTGAAGATAAAATCATGGACAAGTTTTTCCAAATCCTGCTATGACATTAGTCTTTTAATCCTAGATATGTTCTTTAGGTGATAGTAGGCTGATTTAGTAACTGTTTTAATGTGACTGTTGAAACTCAGGTCAGAGTCCATGACTACACCTAGATTTCTGGCTTTATCTGTTCTTTTGAACATTGCAGACTAAAGCTCAGCGCTAACTTTTATACGTTCTGCCTTGGCTCCAAAAACACTTTGTTTAATTGGAGAAAGTTCTCACACATCCAGTCATTGATTTGTTCAATGCACTTACTCAGTGTTTGAATTGGAGCATAGTCTCCTGGTGAAATTGTTATGTAAATGTGTGTGTCATCCGCATAGCTATGGTAACTTATTTTGTTGTTTTCCATTATCTGAGCCAGTGGTAGCATGTAGATGTTAAAGAGAAGAGGCCCCAAGATGGAGCCTTGAGGTACCCCACATGTCATATTTGTCAACTCAAATTTGTATTTACCGATAGAAACAAAGTTGTTTCTGTCCTTTAAGTAGGATTCAAACCAATTTAGAACTATTGATGAAAGTCCCACCCAGTTTTCCAGTCGGTCTAGTAATATGTTGTGGTCAACAGTGTCAAACGCAGCACTGAGATCTAATAATACTAACACTGAAGTTCTGCCACTGCCTGTGTTTAAGTGGATGTCATTGAAGACCTTTACAAGAGCAGTCTCAGTGCTGTGGTTTGGACGAAATCCTGACTGGAACACATCAAAACAGTTATTTAAATGCAAGAAATTACTCAACGATGATTTTACCTAGAAATGGCAGGTTTGATATGGGCCTGTAATTGTTCATTACTGAAGCGTCTAGACCAGAGGTGCCCAGTACGATCTACCAGCATTGCCCCCGCGGTCGACCGGTCGACCGCGGGGGCAATGCTAGTAGATCGCGAGTCAGTCATAAAAAAAGAAAAAATCCAGCTCCGTTAAAATAGATAAAACAGGTTTTGATCCCTCCTCCCTTGGCCTCCCTGCCACTTAATTCAGGAGTTTACTTGATTGACAGAAAAAGCGACCTATCGCTTTCCAGTCTGTTAACCCAGAATGCAAAGCGATACAAAATCAGTCAAGTGCCGGGAAAACTCAAATTAAGTTCAAGAGACAAACAAGAGACAAACAACAAAATGAGTGCGGGACCGAGCAAGAAGCTAAAGACAAACCACTTCCACCCAGAATGGGAGGAAGAATATTTTGTTGTGATGTCACATTCAAAGGTTATTTGCCTTATTTGTAAAGCAAGTGTCGCTCTGCCAAAGGTAGTTATCGGAGTGTTCACAAGGCATATGACAGCGACTTCCCTCCGAGTAGCGAGTTGAGAAAGAGAAAGGTCATGTATTGTGGAAAAACACCTGAGTGAAGAGACTTGTTTACTATATGAAGTAGATCTGAGGTCATGCAAGGAAATTTTTTTTGGAAAAACCTTGTTGGAATAATATCAAGGCAGCAGGAGTTGTATAATGTCCTCTAGGTTTTTAATCATTAATCTGATGGAATTGTGTCCTGGTGTTTGAAATTATATTAGGTGGACACAGACACAACACATCTGTTTTACCTGATACAGAGGCACTGACTGCTTGTCTGATTTTCTGAATTTTGTCAGTGAAGAAGGCAAAGTCATTGCACGCCCTGGTGGATAGAAATTCAGAGGCTACTGACACTGGGGTGTTGGTTAGTCTGTCGACTGTAGCAAACAAGGCACGTGCCTTGTTTTTGGCAATGATATCAGAGAAGAAAGACTGTCGGGCAATTTTCAATTCCAAATGATAAAAGCCAAGTCTCTCTTTATAGATTTCAAAATGAACCTGGAGATTTGTTTTTCGCCACCTGCGTTCAGCTTTTCGACACTCTTTTTTCTGTTTTCACGGTCATGGCCTTTCTCCATGGAGATATTTTCTTGCCAGACACTTCCTTTACCTTAGTTGGAGCAATGGCATCTATAACATTTTTTATTTTTGAATTAAAATGATCTACTAGCTCATTTACTGAGAAGTTAGCAGGGACAAGTGTGGAAGAAAAATTCTGAGTAAACATTTCCCTAGTAGGTAACTGAGTTATTTATTTTGTTAAAGTTTCAGCTATTCTGTTTACAGTTCTGTCATCAGATTATTTAATATGATTTGTTAAAACATTGTTGTTTCTTTTGATGTGAAGTATTATGTATTTAATTTAAATAATAAGCTATGTTAATTTTGTTCACAATTTGTTTAGTTAGTTTACCTCATTTTTTCTCTCCAAAAGAACCGATAAAAGTACCGTTAAAAGACCGGATCGATAAGTGGTATCGATAAAAGTAGTGGTACCGTTAAAACGTTAACGATACCCATCCCTAACATTTAAGTGTGAAATAGTGTTGGTTAAAGATGAACAGTACAGATTCAGATCAGCCTCACTATAAATTAATACACTAATGTATTGTGGCATACAAATGATCTACACAAAAGGTATTCTTCAGTCCCCACATAATTAAATATGATCCCACACATATATCTCTGATGCACCCAAAGATATGTGTGAAGAAATATTTTCAACATTATGGTGTAAGCCAAAGTGAGGAAGTAACGGTGATTTTGGATTATTACAGAAACTAAGATCTTTGGCAAACACATGATTAACATCCTTACATGTTGTTTTCAGCAGGATAATCTCCACATGTTAACACCACTTTATGATTTTGAAGTCAAAAGCTAATGCTAAGAATTAAAGGTCCCCTATTATACTCTTTTTCAACAGTATATTACAGGTCTCAGATATATACAAAACAGCCCTTAAAGTGACCTTTAAATGAACTCTGTAACGGTCACATGGCTCTGCGTCACCACTGTTAGGCCACTGCGAAGCTAAAGGCTCAACATTTATTTGAGAAGCTTACTCTTTATTCATTTCTTTGTGAAGCTTATGTGTGGATTATTTTTTACTAAATTAATAAACAAAAGTAAAAAATGTGTGTGCTTTGAAAATAAACGTTTTGAAGGACCGACCTGCAACTTCAATGATTTGATGCCGGGCGATGTCATAGAAGGGATGGTCCCAGGACAGGTGGGGGGAGTCGGCATCGAAGCGCTGGGACATATCGGTCTCTGAAACACACACACACATCTGAATCCTGACCTCATAGTTCAAAAGTTACGGTTAGATATTAGGATGTGACCGTAGGGCTGCTCGATTATGGCAAAAATCATAATCTCGATTATTTGGGTCAATAATTGTAATTGCGATTATTAAATGCGATTATTCATTGACTTTTGAAAACATCCATTTATTGGAGAAAAAAATGTTGAACAGTATGTTTTTAACAGTTGATTACCCTAAACTTTAAGTATAATTCAACTGAAAAACCCAGAAATAATTATCGTTTTATTTCGATTACGTTGTTTTCGTACTCGTTGCAAGCCATAATCGTAATCGCGATTAAAATACGATTAATTGAGCAGCCCTATGTGACCGTTAGCCCAAGTGAATGTTGCATGTCAATAAGATTATGGTAAGGGTTAGGGGGTCTCTAACGTGTTCTCACCTGACTTGCTGAGAGTGGTCTCATCTGCGGGCCACTGCTGGTCCTCTATCGTTGTCAGCTTCAGCTGTCCCAACTGTGCCGTCGACGGGTCTTCGCCCAGATCTACCAGCAGCTCTGAAGACATCACGGTGCAGAGAAAAAGCCCTACACACACACACGCACACAGCTGCAACTTCCACAGAGGAGAAGCCAAAGTCCTGCAGGGGACAGAGACACCGAAGGTCAGCAGGGTATGGGAACATTTCAGGACATTTATTTATTTAATGCGCACATTTTTATTTGTATAAAATCTGTTATTGTTGTTTGTAGAATTAATTATTATTAGTGTCCAGCCCTACCTAGGCAGTACAGTAGATATCTCAGCACGATTTTACTAGATTTTAGCATCCTAAAATGAAATAAACATGTCCTACGATATTTTAAATGATTCTCCTATAGAAACAATTGCTGCATATCAAATAAAGCATTCGCTGAACTAAAAGCCACCCAGCAGCAGTGTGGAATAAAAGACTTAAGTAAAAGAACAGTCTCAGTAACAGGCTGGTGACAATCTGTTGTTGGTTTGTTTACATGTTCAAACATTCTGATTCCTTCACCACATAGGACTCATGGGGGCCACCACTGATCAGGTGTTATTTTGTGGGGCCAAAACGTGTCAATGTAAATACATTTCCAACCAATGAAAAAATAAATAAATGCTGTGATATATCGTTATCATTTGGAAATATACTGTGATATGAGTTTTTTGTCATACAGTACCGCCCAGCCCTAGCTGTAACTAACATTCTGCTTTGTCTTTTTATGTTATTTTCCTACCACAACGCCACAGTACACTGTCCTTCTGAGTGAAGCATGTGACGGCTCTGTGTTGGAGTCCTCTGCAGATGACTCTATTGAAATACTGCCTCAAGCAGCCTGACTGCACACTGTAAAGCTCAGTGAGACCGTGACATTAGCATAATATAACTGCTTCAAATAAAGCTCTTCCTCTTCTCACATATTAACTCTCTCCCCATTTTCTATACTCACACTTCCTCTTTAATCTCCCAACCCCCACTTGTTTACCCACATACTGCTACACACACAGCCTTGTCTCCCTCTTCTATGTGATGTTATACTTGCTGACAGCATGTTGCTTTAAATAAATATCTAACCAACAGTCAGCCTATTGCTGCTGACCAACCACAGACACACACATATTGAAAACACACAACCACACACACTTGGCCTGTTTTGAGTCACTAAGAAGCTGTCAGGGAGGACATCTGGATTAGGATTTTAACAATAACAGGTTCCTCTTTTTTTGTTTTTTCCTGGACACAACACTACTTTGCTCCCACAGCAGGAGAGCCAGTATCGGTTAGAGCAAAAGAGACACATCACCGAGATCATCTTCACATGACTAAGCTCTATTGCCTAATTTTCCACCACAAGTCAAACCCATAAAAGGGTTTGGGTATCATTTTTAAATGAATGACTGCCAAAACAGGTCACACACACACAACAAAAAATGATATGATTCAATGATCTGTTCAATCTATTTTAAATCCAAATGTATTCTTATGATTACATTGCTTGGTTGAATACTCGATTCTGGTTGGTCAATTTGAGAATGCACAATGCAGAGGTCTGCTCTGTCTTGTTAGCACACAGTGGCGTTTTCTCCCGGAGGCCAAGGGAAGCCAGGCTTCCTCTGTTTTTTCGGATTGTAGTTATAATTTAAATAAATAAATAAAAACACTTTGTTTTGTTTCGATAATTCTCCTTTACTGTGTGTTGCTGCCGGCCCGTCTCTCCCCCATTCTCATTGAGTATTTTCCAAAGAGTGAAACAAACAGCGCCCCTCTAGATGTTATGGTGAAACAGTAGATTGCACTCACTGTTGCGAGAGGAGGCCAGCCGAATCTGGCTTCCTTTGGTGAAAAAAAATGGAGGGATTGACCAATCAGATGAGGCCCACGTGATGCCCCTGCCAACCTGTGATTGGTCAGGGCCATGCCAAGGGAAGCCAGCCGCCTCTAGCTTCCCTTCAGGGGCGGCTGGCGGCTGGCGATTTGATTGGACACTGCCATCCAATCAAATCACATCAACATCAGTTTTAATACTGTAACTGTCATCACCGCCGTTAGAAATTATCAAGCAAATGAAGCATTATGGAGGGTGGAGATTTGGCGTACTTAATCAAACATAACTTTACTAAACTTCCGCTACAGCAGCAACTAAAAATTAAATCAGATGACAGGCCAATGCCCGCACTCGAGCTGTGTGTACACAGAGGGAAAAGGGAGATAATCGGACGTTCAATGAGGACAATTATGTCCGCACGGAGTGGCTAACTGGAAGCGCTAAACTTCAGCGTCTATTTGGCTGGCCATGTCTTCTTTTTGACAAGGATTCGTGCTCCCTGAACAATACTTGGGCAACTTCAGGATTCATCGACCTTGCCAACCTGTCACGGGCAATTGAGAGGCACGGTAAATCCAAAAATCACAGATTGTGTGATTGTTTGCATACATTAATAAGTAAAATGCTTAAATTAATAAGAAGAGAGTTTCAGCTGGAGAGTGCGTGCGGACCTGTCGGTTAGATAACAGGCGTGTGCAAGTCCTGCATCTGTGTGATACAAATGTGTGTAAAATGATACCGGGCGCTGTAATCACTCATCTGGTTACGTTATTGACCACCCCCCCGACCCAAAAAATGGGCTTCCCCTACATTTTCCCCCACGCCACGCTACTGTTAGCACACATTATCCATTGGTGCTATTAGACATTTTACAATGACCTTAGTGTCCCCCTACTGTAACACTGACACCAGCCACAATTACACAGACATGGTCTACTGTCACCCTCTCCATGTAAGTCTGCAATATTCCAAAATCCAATAAAAAATATCTTCGTTTTATTTAGTTATTTGGTTCAAGATTTGTATAATCAACTAGTCAGGCCTGAGTCCGACAGGTAGGCTACAGGTAAAAGAGGGGATGATTGGTTGCTCTATGGATGAAGAACATCCGGGTAATTTTACACCAAGGAGGTCCACCTTTTTTAGATTTTGCATTTGAGGTGAAACATTTGATTATTAAATGCTGATAAATTGTGTTTTGAAAGACACAAGGACAATAAAAAGCAGTGATAATTTCAACTGTAAATGTGTATGTAATGCTAAGTGGAGTTTATCTGTACATGGGGAAGTACGATGTCACGTTAGCTATTGATCATGTCTGCTAATAAGAGCAACAGGTGAGCAGTCAGGTAGCTCCTTTACTTTACCCGGAAAGTCCGTTTAACAGGTCCGTCATTTTGGCTGGTGCTTTAGAAAAGCTAAATGCTGCCAAGCTAGTAGCAGTATGCAGATACGGATATATGCAGTACGAACGCTGTGTGGACATTAATGGGTAAAGAGAACGACTACTCTTAGCTAAAGCAGCAGCAGCAGAATAACGTCACAAACCAATGTTACCACTACATGTAGCCCCGTGGTACTGAACGACTGAGTACACGACAAATAAATGATCACGCGACCACTGTGCTCCCGCCTTTTCTATAACAGTACCAAAGCAGCACAGTGGATTTGTATTAAACGTACCGTGATGTTTAGTTTCCTTACCAAGTGGGCTTTGTGGCGTCTCAAGTAGATCTGATCACTGCTGTTGACAGACAACGATAATGCGTCAACACCTTTTCCGGTTTGTTATTTTCAAAATAAATGTACACATTTCTGCCCATGAGATACCGTTCCTTTCAAAATAAAAGCTCTGATAGGATACTCCTCTCCTAAATAAAACTACAGTGACGGAATAGCCCGAGGGACATTTATGTGTGCGGAAGTGCTACTACAGGCAGAAGAAGAAGAAGAACATTCCTGATGCTCCTCCGGGACGCTCAGTCATTTTTATAATGTGCACTTTTTGACACATATAGTCTATCTCGTAAAGGAGTTAGTTAATACGCTATCTGTGTCCAATATAACGTCAAAGCAAGTTACGTTAAAGTGCGTCAAGAGAGGCACGGGGAACTTTTCAGACACATTTCCGGACATGGAGCACAGAGACTGTCCTTCTGTGAGACCCGGGGAGAGTCTCCTGTCAGGAGAGAATGAATGGGGAAGAGCGGGACGGTCAGTCACCAACCGGAGCGGCTTTAAACCGTGGCCGGTGCTCGTGCTGTCAGTCCTGGGCTCCGCTGCAGCTGCGGTCGCTGTGGGCTTTGTGTGCGCTCTCATCTACCCCATACTCAAAGGTAAGAGCGTGCGCCTGTGGACAGAGGTGTGTCTCGCCTCCCGCGCACACAATGATGTGCAAACTGCTGCTTTTACATACAGTTTTCTGAAACGTGGCTATAAACTACAAATAATCAGTGGTGGATTAAGTAGTCCGAGTATACTTGAGTACAAGTAGCTACTACTGTAATACCAAACTGTGAATATACTAGATTTACAGTACTACATCAAGAATGGCACTTAAGTAAACGTATTTGAGTATGATTAGGAAAATCGACCTCAAGTATTCGGGGTAAAAGTACTCATTGCAGAAAAATGTTTTTAAAATTCTGAGAAGTCCGATTTTTTTCCTCATAATTCAGTTTTTCTGTTTCAGAGCTGCGAGCGGAAAGAGTTAGAGGGGAGGACGGGACTGAACAAAGGATGCTGGGTAAACATTTAGATTTGTTCATTTAGTCCCCGATTTACTGAGCTGTTGAACACATGAATACAGTATTACAAGTATCAATATATCATTATGTACAGTAATTGTTTAGTGTGTGTGTTTGTAGGTTTTTGGAGTATCCTGGTGCTGTCAGTATCAGTGGGATGTATCTGCTGTGTCTTCTCGTGGACCCTCACCTACCTGGACTCGTACCAACCTGGCATTGTATCCATAAAACCGCTGAAACCGGCACACATCAGGTAAAAAAGCAATATATCAGACTGATATCTGAATATTAATAAACATCCAATCATTGTGGATCAAAATAACCTCACTAGCAGACAGCAGTTAAGGGATGCAACATTTTAAAAGCAGGAATCTGTGTTTTTCTTCTAGAGATGCATCTGGTTTCAACATGGGTTTTGGCGTCGCTGTCCTTAATGGCATCATGTCCATGCTCACTGTCATCTGGAGCCTCACCTGACACACACACACCCCCTCAAAGGCGTCGAGCAGCCTGTGCTGGGTAAAGGAAAGGAATCTTTACTATTAAATCAAAATAAAAGTTTGAAATGGACGTGTATTCATTATGTGTTTAGAGGACCACAGGACAGTGTTTCTGACGAACAGGAAATGACCTGATTACACATTATGTAAACCGCCTTGCAAAAGTATTCACCCACTTGTTTTCCTATTATATAGCATTAAAACCTGTCATTTAAATGTTGGTTTATTTGGAAGAACTTAAAAATTCTACTACTTTTCTATTCCAGCTTACTTTTAATGAGAAAATGTGTTTATTTGAACATGCTCACAACATGCATATGATATGAACATGCTGACATTAGTGTTAATCTGAAGTGTGGCTACAACACTGGATAGATGTTATTTCTGTCCATTTGAATATATAATGAGAAATAAAAGGAACAGTAAAAACACACCCATAACAAAATAGTATGTTTATTAGGCATGTCATTTTTGATGATTTTTGCATAGAGACAGCAACTAGGAATGTTTCACTTTGCGTAGTGCAGGTAAAAGATTGTGCAAAGAATTCTACAGTTATTGTTTATTTTAACATCCCATGGAAACATTCACACACACACTGATGGAGACTACTCATCATCCAATGCACTCACACACACATGGCACAGCCGTGGGGATAGTTTAGATATTTGTGTTCACCATGAGACAACTTTAACATGTGGAGCACTGCAGCAGCGGGGCGGGGCCCATTCGCACAGCAAAAGGCCATTTTCTTAAAATACATTTACATTTTTTACACTTATTTCTGTTTTACAGTAGTAGTTCTTTTATTGCTCAACATCAGCCGTGGTGGTGTGCAGCCATGTGTCGTTTTTCTATAGGCTGCCTGCCGTTAGCTTTTACTTCTACTGATTACAACGTCAAAAATCGAAGTGATAGTGAGCTTAAAAACGTGAACTTAAATAAACATGTATACAGTTCTAACATACATTAGTACATTTCGTATACATCCATGATCCCCACAGGGTAACATGTCAATATCAAACAATATAACATACTGTCAGTCACATTGATTCATATTGATAAACTCCAATACACAATCTATGCAATTACAGAAGGAAATAACAAAAACAGTTTCTTCAGAATAAAGGCTGGTGTCGCAGTAACACAAGAGCAGCAGTACCGTTAGGAAGGAACCATCCTTAGTGTTCATTCAGCTCTTGCCTTGACATTAAGGCACTGACTTCTTACGAATTCTGAACATTCGTAAACATTTTTCAATATCATATATCCGATGAAGCCTTTCATCTGTGATCAGCAGTTTTTTAAAGCTGCATTACAAGTCTTTTTTTTTAATACTCACTTGAATGAAAATAAAAGTGTGAGTAAACATAAGAGTGATTATCACGCAACTCGTTTTGGTCATTCTGCACATGTGCTCTCAAGTATCTTCTCTCAGAAGCAGCAGGAAGTGGGTTTTTACCAAACCTATTGGAATTAACCCATTGTACATTTCCTACCAGCAGTCATTTCTACATGTTTCTTATGTGGCACTAGGGCTGAACGATTAATCGATTTTAAATCAAAATCGCGATTTTAAATGATGCAATTTTCTTTATGATTTCTTTTTTTTGTTCTTCTTGTGTGTTAGTCATCCACACCAATCAGGAGTGCTGTGCTCCACATGTACATGCCATTGTTAACCAATCAGAAGTGGCTCATGATAGAAGGTGATTGACAGATTGATCCAATCACCTGCAAAGTATTTTTGAATCGGAGTTGAATCTGAGTCAGGTTAGTAATGCTCCATCACATGTTTCTATTACAGGGTGAATCTTAAACTGAAGCTTGACTTTAAAGCAACCCAACGGAAGTTTCATGTAAGTTTAGTCCTTTCACTCGTAGCTCGGGCTGCGGGGCTGCTAGAGACGGGAGCACTTTGATACGACCTTCCTAGCCGGAGATATGGCCGCATTTTACAATAAACTTCCGTTAGGTTGCTTAAAAACAAATATCGCAAATCGAATCGTAATATCTGTCAGAAAAACTAACCCTCTTCCGTGAACCCATGGTGCTCAAGCATATCAAGAGAATTGATACCTATGATAAAGGCCTATCTAGTGGAGCTGGCGTCCTGTGTTGAAGGAGAGTCTGGCTCTGGGCTGTCAGCCCCCCCCTGCCTGCAGCGCCTCCTGGAGGCCAGTTTGCACACACCAGCGAGGAGGAACACCAGAGAAATGACAGCAAAGTAGCAGCCATAGATGAGGAACTAAGGGAAGGAAACAAGGTAGTTAGCAAATGAACCCTGCGGGGTGTAGAGAAATAGCATGGCCAAGATGTGGAAATAGTCTAGCATAGTGACCCCGGAAATGTTGAGTACCCCAAAGTTTTATGTTAAAAATGTATAGCACAGAGACAGCCCGATATCAACTTGCATATATTGGGCAATTTGCACAATTAGCATAAGTGCGTTCTAGCCTATGCAGACAATAGTAAAAAAATGACTTATAATATATTACTTATGGATTATTGAGGATGCTGAATTGATTTCTGACATTTTAAGTATCAAAAATGGCAGTTTTAACCAGAAAGTGGCCATATTTGTACTCGGTGGACGGATTTTGACTACCATGAGTAGTGTTGCAATCTTTGGATATAGAGCGCACAAGATAAATATAATAACATATTATAATAACATTTCTTTTTACAAATAAATAGGCAATTTGTCCAATCCAAATGATCCAGACTGCCCAAAATCTTCCAAAATGAATCAAAATCAGCCCCCAGAGTACAGAAATTGACATTTTCTGGTTAAGACTGCCATTATTGATCCTGGAAATGTCAGGATTCTCAGCTTCCTTAATAACCCCCCAAATTACTCCAAAATCGGCCAAGTCATTGTATAGCTATTGTCCACATACTGTAGGCTATAATGGTAATAATGCTAATTAATGCAATTGATGCTAATTGTGCAAATTGCCCAACATATGCAAGTTAGCATCCGGCAGTTTCTATGTGCTGGGGTACTAAACATTTCTAACACAAAACTTAGGTATCTTTGGTATTTGGTGAAATCTGATTTGTCACCTGTGTGAAAACATCGAGGCCGAGGCCGACGGAGTCCACCACCACCACGGTGAGGAGCGACTGCAGCAGCAGCGCCATGAAGGTGTTCACTCCGAACACCAGGGCGTAGCGCTGCATGCTGAGGCTGGCTGCGATCTGGTATCTGATGGGACAAGGGAAGATTTATTCAAAATGTGAGGAAGGTTAAGACCAGTGTCTCCAATGACTTTAAAATAATACTCAGTTGCTCAGAAAGCGAAATCCACCCGTGACCTACTGCTCAAACTAAACAATCATCACTTAAGAGAAAGGAAAGCAGAAGGAGAACAAGAGCCCCTGATGATTCCATTCAGCTCATGTTTGGTTTTAAGTGGCTCGTTCCCACACTTTTCAAATCATCAAAAGTCTTTACCTGTGAAGCCTTTGACTTATAGGGTTCCTTTAAGAGTGTTCCAGATAATGAAGATGTTGCCAAAAACCTGTGTCTTCTTCCTTTCAGTCTTACAATAATCTAAATGAACCTGCTCATTGCCTCTTGACACTCACGTAGCCATGGTGATGAGCAGCATGTAGGTGGCTCTGAAGAAGATGTATGAGGCGTAACACATCCAGATGTTCCTCACGGTGTCCATGACAAACACACACACAGCCATGAGCAGGGAGAGCACACACAGAGCCAGCTCCCCCCACTGAGTCCAGCTCAGAGGCAGGCAGCCCACCAGCAGAGCAGCCAGGGCCCCTGTGGAGAGAAAAGAAGTTAGACACTCTCTAAAACAAAATGGCTACACAACTTTTCACCTGATGAATCGGCGCCCTCACCGAGCAGTGTGGACAGCGTCTCCACGTAGCCGTTGTAGATCTCGTAGTCCTGTGATGGACGGACGTTCTCCCACAGGGCCTGGGCGTAGTTGACCACCTGGAAGTAGCCGCAGGTGGCCAGAGCCCACCACAGAGACCAGGCCAACAGGGGCCCACTTCTGTAGCACTGCAGGAAGTCGTCAAAGAGAATCCGTAACACCTTCACAAATCCACTGCCCTGACTTCCTGTCTCAGAGGAACTGGATATCTGCATGGAGAGAGAGGTCAAGTTATTCACATTTCATTTCATCAGTCTTTTATACATAAATATTTGTCCCCGGTGTGTCAGGGAACTCACAAAGTGTAAGAACACAAAACCCTCTCTCTGTTCCTCCCTACCCAAATCTCTAAAAACGGGGGCAGCGGAGTACTGGTTAGTATAAGCTCCGCCCGTCTTTCTTTTCTTTTTAAAGCTAGAATCCCAGAACCCAGAATCAGCACTTCTCTAACAGGGCTGAAAGAGAGGGGTATGAGGCATGGCTAGAATGGGTGATCTCAGACATGTTTTTTATATATATCTGGCCTATAATATATGCCTAAAAATAGTATAATAGGAGACCTTTAAGTTCAAATGAGTTATTGATTATTGTGCAAGACTGTCACTCACTGTGGTGACACCATTCAGAGGCAGCTCCCTCTCCGAGTCCTTCTCCAACAGAGCGGTGCTGCTGCGGGGCCCCCCCTCCCCCGCTCCCATGTGGAAAAACAAGCTCCTCTTGGGCATGGGCAGGAACCAGGGAGCGACGAAGGCCACGGCGGATGATGCCAGAGTGATGATGACGAGGTGCACAAGCCGAACTTTCGCCAAAGAGAGCAGCAGCTGTCCGGTCAGAGAGCCGGCCGCCGAGCCGAACAGAGTGACGCTGCGGCAGTACCCCGTTACCTTCTGGTAGTGGGCCGGCTCCACCACGCTGTAGATGTAGGAGTAGTACGCCACCTCCGAGGCTGTGGCCAGCCCGAAGAAGAACTCCAGCAGCTGCATGGCCAGCAGGCCCTGCGCCTTCAGAAGAATCACATAGGTCACCACTAGGCTGGTGGCCTGCAGCACCAACACAGGCTTATAACACAGGTAGTCCGTGGCCAGGAAGATAGGCAACAGCAGCGCCAGGTAGGAATACGTCCATACTGGATAGATTTCATTAACCACCTGCAAAAAACACATACAGGAAGTGTTAGAAACAGACTTATGTGTCGTGAAAAGGGCCACCTACAGTAATCCTGACCTCAAGTCAAGACAGTATCAAAAGAGACGGGCAACCTGTGGGAAAGATGCCAATATGCAAGTAATATCGATTTTTTTACTGCACATATTTTATATTTTATTCCATTCTGTTTAAATGTAAATACTGCTTTTTTTATGTTCTTAAAATAGTTATTTCTGTGTTTTTGTAATTCTTGTTTTACTTTTATGTATGCACCACGACACCAAGTCAAATGCCTCCTACGTGGTTCTGGGATTTTTGCTCACCGTTCTCGAGATCATTTTGACCCCACGGGGTGAGATCTTGCGTGGAGCCCCAGATCGAGGGAGATTATCAGTGGTCTTGTATGTCTTCCATTTTCTAATAATTGCTCCCACAGTTGATTTCTTCACACCAAGCTGCTTACCTATTGCAGATTCAGTCTTCCCAGCCTGGTGCAGGTCTACCATTTTGTTTCTGGTGTCCTTTGACAGCTCTTTGGTCTTGGCCATAGTGGAGTTTGGAGTGTGACTGTTTGAGGTTGTGGACAGGTGTCTTTTATACTGATAACGAGTTCAAACAGGTGCCATTAATACAGTTAACAAGTGGAGGACAGAGGAGGCTCTTAAAGAAGAAGTTACAGGTCTGTGAGAGCCAGAAATCTTGTTTGTTTGTAGGTGACCAAATACTTATTTTACCAATTCATTCATTAAAAATCCTACAATGTGATTTCCTGGATTATTTCCCCCCATTCTGTCTCTCATAGTTGAAGTGTACCTAGGATGAAAATTACAGGCCTCTCTCATCTTTTTAAATGGGAGAACTTGCACAATTGGTGGCTGACTAAATACTTTTTTGCCCCACTGTACATGTCAGAAAAATAAATAAAATAAGCTATATGATGCAGAGAAGGTTGCAAGTGACCAAGTAAATGCAGGAGTCTATATATATGAAAACAGAATAAGATATACAAGAACAGAATGGAAAATGAAATATTGTACGGTGAAATTAATTGTAAGATGGAGGCACTTCACAGAACTCAGGCATTAAGCAGTCTTATGGCCTGTGGGATGAAACTGTTTCTGGGTCTGCTGGTCTTTGTCCTGTTGCTGCGGTAACGCTTGCCAGACGCCAACAGACGGAACAGTTTGTTGCTGGGGTGATGGGGGACGTGCCAGAACTGTCTGTTTACGGTGCCTAAGTGGCTTGATGGAAACAGAAGGAAGGACAGTCATACTTTCCAACTGCATTTATCTTTAATTCACTTTATGATAGCACAATTACCATAGGTTGCATTCATTAGTATTATAGCTTATGTTGACAAAAATGAAAAAGGCACCAATTAATTATGGCTGTTCTATTTTCTTTCTGAGAGTCATGGGAATCCTTCGATGTCGAGTGAAAGGGTGCAGGGGCCATATTGGAATGGAGCCTAAATCACAAGACAGCTAATCTCCACCTCCTGTATTATTCCATCCAGAGTTGATCCTTGTTCTTTTCCATGAGCATTGAAGAACGAGATCACTTGCATACCTTTAGCTGTCAGAGATTCTAACTGAAAGAATACATCAACATTCTTCATATCAAGACCAAACGAGCAGGGCAATAGAACTGTTTGTCCATAACTCAAGGTTGTCTGCCAGAGGGCTTTGCACATCTGATCATCTGGACTTCCAGGTATCTCTAGACAATAAACTATTTTATAAACTGGCAATAGAAAGAGACAGAGCTGCCTCTATGTTAGAGAGATAACAGCAACTCTCTAAGGCTACATGCCTGAGCCATAAGAAACGAGAAACAGCGAGTAAACAATGATTCCTCAACCTGACCTATAGTCAAAATGAACCAATATATCTATGACTTTAGATACTGTATGAAACATGGATATCTGACAGTAACTCGCCACCTTTGTTTTCTCTCTGTTAACTTGGTGGATGTAATTATTTTAGGATTAACCAGAATTCCAAAAGGATATGACTATTAATGAGGGATTATTCTGGCAGTGTTAAAGTATCTCTGAAGTTCAGTCCACATAGAGCACATGTGCCAAACTCAAGGCCCGGGGGCCAAATCAGGGTCGTGGTGGATTTAATTTCGGCCCGCAGGATAATATTTATTGACTATTAGATCTGGCCCGCCGGTATATTGCACGCACACCTTCACTCCATCCTGAGGGTTTCCTCCGCTCAGAGCCTGACCCCAAACATTGATGAACACCCGAGATGAGATGCCAAGTATCTGAACTAACATCACAGAACAGCACACTGACTTTCAATGGATGTTTCCTTCTGCACTTTTTTTCTTGAGACAACAGGGCATGTTTGTTTTTTTCTTTCAGGGAAATTGTTTTGTTGAAGCTGTTGTTGGCCTGTGGGAAAATGTAATCATAAGAAATGACTCTGGAAAAGCTGCAGATAGAACCATAAGAAATGAATGGAACTGATTATTTAATGTTCAATTTTGTTTTTATAGGCAATAATTTAAGCTTTGTTAGTTCCAGGCTTAATATGTGCAATAAGTTCATTCCAATAAGTTTTGCAATAAACATTGAACCAGTCCGGCCCTCGACTAGTACCCATTTATTTTGGCCCACTGTGTATTTGAGTTTGACCCCCCTGACATAGAGCCTACATTGATTAAAAGTGGGTCGGAGCAGTAAAACTGTCCAACAATGGCACTGAATATCCTCTTCTTTGAGCACGAGGGCCTCTAGCTACTCTTATTAAACAGTGGGACCTGTGATATATCATCATGAAGTTCTTCTCAACACCTTAACAGTGTGCTCAATAGGGACTGCTGCCAATTGTAGACATTACAAGTAACACGCATATGTAATTGTATGCAGTCAGAGGTTTTCCCTTCAGATGTAGCCTACATCTGCACGCGGAGGACAGGATGAGGAAACATGTTGAGCAAGAGGAAAGTGTGTCAATGCATTCTGAAACAAAGAGCTCTTGTGGTGTGACATTCACAGAAAAATGTCTTAGGCTACAAATATATCATTAATACAGAAGAGGATGTGAGAAGGCCATGTGAGAAGAGTTTTTGGAAAGCAAAAATAATTCACAGAAAAAAGTCAGAATTCTGACATGACTTTATTATGAAGTGTCTTGTTTCCATGACTCCAATACATTCATCGGTAGCCTTCACTGTAAATATACGGAAGAGGATAAGGGCCACATGAGAAACAAATTATCTCAGAATTCTGAGATTAAAAAAAACATTCTCTCAGAAAATTATTATTATTATTTGTCCAGGGGGGGGAAATCTGAATTCTGAGATTAAAGTCTGAACTTGTTGTTACTTCTGGTCACATCTTTACTTTTTCCTCTTCCGTATAAACAAGTAAAAGACTAATTAAATAGGACTTACAGTATATATATACTATATATATATATAGTAAAACATAATTAACATCACATGCTTGGTTGTATTTAGTATTGCGTCAGTCAGTAACGCAAGGTCCTGTAAGGTAAACAGCAGTCAGTGCTAATATAGCCTTTTGCCCGGCTAGCTAACTGACCTGCTCCTCCGTCAGGTTGTGGTCCGGGCCCAGCAGGAAGGCGGTGAGGAAGGGCTCCGACGGTCGCAGGCTGGAGAAGAAGCCGAACACACAGAGCAGGAGAGTGGGCTCCAGCACCGACATGTTCAAGTCCCAAACATGACCTCCACAGCACGCTGCTGACTGACTGACTGCTGCTTCTTTGGTGGTGCTGTCGGTGTCACTGTGTGCTGTACACCACCGCCCCCTGCTGGCCTTAGTGTGCAACTGCAACTATTAGCACACCAGCTGGAGAGAGCGAGAGTTTATTTGTATTTGTTTCTGTTGTTGTGGCCGAATCAACATGATAAGCCCACAATTAGTATTGTAGCGTCTCACTGCGATAAAACATACGGAGCCCTAGGGGACATGGATAAGAACAAAAAATGTATTTGAAAAAAAAAAAAAGGCTAATAATGTTTTGCGAGATCTCGCAATACTTTTCATTTAGCTCAATGTACTTCCTGGGGGTATACTACGAAGCAGGATTTTCGCTTAGCCGGCTAAATTCAGGGAAAACTCCGGCTTTCCGGTCCTACGAAGCTGGTTCTCTTTTTAGCAGGCTAGATCTCCATGGTAACTTATGCTTAGCGGCTAACCTGGGGGGTATCCTACGAAGCAGGATTTTCGTTTAGCAAGATAACTTCTGGGATTTCCGGTACTACGAAGCTGGTTCACTTTTTAGCGGGCTAGATCTCCATGGTGACTTATCCTGGAACCTAGTCTGTGCTCCGAAGCAGGATAGGTTCCAGGATAAGAGATCAACTCAGCGAAAGCACCACGCCTTCTGACCAATCAGAGCTCAGTGTGCGGAGGAAATACAGTTTAAACTGCTGTTGCAGGAAAGACGGCCGGCCAAAATCACCGACTGTGTGAACGTGAAAATGAATAGAACATCACCTCCCATCTTCAGAGCAATCTGACTATTATACTATTAGGCTATGTTAAGAAAGCTTAATTAAATATCTGCCACAACATAAGTAACCGGATCAAAGTAACATTACGTAGCCTACAGTGAGTCAGCGACACTGAGTGCAGACGTCGATGTGTCCCATTATCATTCATATCACATCATATCACATCATAATGTATCATATAGTTCCTTATCTGAGTCAGCTGAGCCGTATCGGGCTGTGCAACACTCACAGTGTCACATACTGTATGCAGAAGTATTATTTTAAGCAACACATTAAGTTGACGAAACACTCGAGTCAAATGTAATTAAAGTCAGATCGTGTCTTAGACGGGGCAGTGATATCATAAACCTGTTAATGTACGCATTCAAACACTTTTTCTTTTACCAGCTGTATTCACCTTGCAGGCTTTGATCCTGGATAAAGTGTTTAAGTCATGGATGTTTAAAGTTTAACTTCTTCATATGTCTAATATTATAGTTGACTTTTCATTCAGGAAGTATGACGCTGCGCTGTCAGTACGCTTCTCCATGTTTGTGATTGGTCGAATGCTCGATACCACCCCTTTTATGTGAACGCGCACCTAACTAGATGGGGCACGGCTGGCTTGAGCGAACGAGTTGATAGCCAGCGTTGTAGGACAGTTTAGCGAGAGCGGCTTTGTTTTGGATTAAGTCAACCGGATAACTCAAAACATATCCAGGATAGGTTGAACTAGATTCGTAGTAGGCCTATACCCCCCTGGTCGGGACCAGGTTAGGTTGCAGGCTAAGAGCTCAACTCAGTGAAAGCACTGCCTGCTGACCAATCAGAGCTCAGTGTGCGGAGTTTAAAGCGATCAAGTCATATTACAGGAGAAAGGAAATACAGAAAAGCTGCGGTCGCAGGAAAGACGGCCGGCAAAAATCACCGACTGTGTGAACGTGAACATTAATAGAATATCACCTTCCATCTTCAGAGCAATCTGACTATTATAACCAGTGCTGGAATTGGGCCGGTACTCACCGGTACGCAGTACCGGCACTTCTGGTTCTGACCCATGGAGTACCGGCACTTCTTGCTCAGTACCGGCATGCTGGCGGTACTCCGGTACTCATGCACCGTGCCAGTACTCAACACTCTCCCGCCGTTCTTATTATACATCCATATATATATATACAGCCGCCCGGTACTCAGTAGATGCGTCATGAGGTGCCGAACGGACATTCTCATCGCTCTAACCGCTGGAGTTTCACAGCGGCTGTCAGCTGTTTACTCCTGTCATTCAAACAGAACGTGCTGGAGAGGGGGCGGGGCTTATCTTCTCCATGTAAATACTGTGGTAGAAACGACTATGTCAAAATTAACCTATTTGACCGTGATTTAATAGTAATACACGTTTCAAAATAATAATAATAATAATGCCGAAGTAACAACATAATGAAAACTGTTAGTAAAACCATGTTTTAATGCTTTACAATTTACATACCTAGATGCACGTGTGTTGTGTTTATGCAGTGCAACTCCCACCCAGTGGGTGGCTATGTAGAGTGATAGAACAGAGCAGGCACGCCCCGGAGAGAAGGAAAGCAAGTCACGTCACAAATTAGCATTTCTAAAATGTTAGCGTGGATTAATAAAAGTGCAAAAAGACAGCGGTTGTCGCCGGAAGAAACTTCAAATACAGAGAATGCTGTGCCTGTGTTGGAAATTGTGTCTGATGGGGAGCTTTCTTTGGTTGATCCTCCTGCTCCAAGTTCTAGTGCATTAGCATTAGCACTAGCTCCGCCGCCTCCTCCAGAGCCTCTAAAGTTAGCTGCTGCTGGCGCAACTGCCACCACCAACACCGGGCAAAGCGATGCACCTGACTGCTGGACAACGGACCAGGTGCAATATTTTTGCAAGACCAATGCATGGCTCCTTCTTAAAGATAAGAAGCTAGGATGTCGGATATGCAGAGATGTCAAATCTTTGGGAATACACACTGGACAAGGACTGAAACTGTCAACTGAATGGGGTGAGTGTGCAGTGTCTCATTTCGGTGTTGACAAGGGCAAACAACAAGCTAGCCTGAGAAAAAAAAATCAAAGAACATAAAGAATCACAAGCCCCTGTAAAAGCTGCTGACATCCTTACATCTGCTTCACGTGAAACTATTCAACATCAAGTGCAGTCTATGCATACATCTGAATTAGACACCACTATCAGAGTTTTTCGAACGGCATATAAAATTGGCAAACATAGCCGGCCATTCACAGACATGCCAATTGATTTGAATGTACAGAAACTGAATGGGCTGAACGTGGGCAGGGTTTTGCACTCCAATAAAACCTGTGGCGAAATCATCGACCACATAGCTCATGAGCTGAAGAAAAAAATGGCAAAAGACATTACAGAAAACCAAAGAAAACTCTGTGTTTTGGTCGATGAATCTACCACTATTAGTGGTAAAACGGTGCTTGTTGTGTGTCTACGCTCAGCATTAGCTGATGCTGAGCCCGAAACGTTGTTTTGGGAGCTGATCGAGTTGGATGGAACAATGGCTGATGACATCACAAAGGCGTTAATGGAGTGTCTTGGAAGAGATTTTAACGAGGACTTTTTAGGTCAGTGTTTCGTTTCTTTTGCATGTGATGGGGCTTCAGTCATGCTAGGGAAGAGAACAGGCGTTGCTACCCAGTTGTGTAGTAAATTCCCAAGCCTGTTTGTGTGGCACTGCTCCAATCATCGTCTAGAGCTGGCAGTTGGGGATGTGGTCAAGGAGGTCTCAGGGCTCAATCATTTCCAGATCTTTTTTGACAAACTCTATTCCTTGTTCCATGCCTCCCCCAAAAATCAGAGGCAGTTAGCGCAGTGTGCGCAAGCAGTCGGACAGCGTCTCCTGGTGATAGGGCGTGTTTTGTCCATCCGCTGGGTGGCTTCAAGTGAAAGGAGCGTCAGAGCAGTCTGGGAAAACTACCAAGTGCTTCATGATCACTTCACAAATGCTGCAAACGACACGAGCAGGGATTCCAGAGACAGAGCAAAGTACAAGGGCCTGGATGATGTGCTCACATCTGCAACGTTTGTCAGCAATCTGGGACTGATGTACGATGCGCTCACAGAGCTCAGCGACCTCTCTCGGCAACTCCAAAAAAGAGAGATGATACTGCCTACAGCAGATAGGCTCTTAACTCGAGAAATACGAGTTTTTGAATCCATGGTCACCATGCCTGGCCAACACATGACTACAGTTCATACAGCTCTAGCTGAGAAGTCCTTCAAGGGTGTTGCCCTGCGTGAGAATGGCAGGCTTGTACAGATTCATGCAGGTCAGTTTTTCCGCAGTATGGTAGAGAATCTGAGACACAGAATGACTTCCACAACCTTCTCTCATGTCAGCACAAGAGAAATCCCATTACATGGCCGGGAGGCCCGGGACAATCAGCTAATCCAGGACATGAAAGTTATCCATCCTGGAAGTTGGCCTGAAGAGGAGTTAGACGTACAGTATGGGGACGTAGAGGTGCTACGTTTGTGCGAAGTGCTGAAAGTGGACAGAAGAGAGACTGTTCAGGGCTTTCGCGAATACAAGGAAACCAGGGCATCCCGTACACCTGCTGCCATGGAGCCTCTACTGAAAGCAGTCCGAACCATCGCTGTCTCCACTAGTGAGTGTGAGCGGGCATTCAGCTGCATGAACGATATCCTTACTGCAAAAAGGAATGCTCTCTCCGTCAGCCGACTGTCCAGCCTGGTTTTCATTAAATGTAATGGACCATCACTAGGACAGTTCAATCCGGAACAGTATGTGAGGTCCTGGCTGGCAAAGGGAAGGAGAAGTGCTGATGAAAGAGCCTGTCCAGCTCCAGCCCCTGATACTGATGTCCCCAAGGCCTTCTGGAGCCTTTTCTAACAATGTGAAGTATATTGCAAAGCAGCTCACCCAGTGAGAAGACTTTTGGCATAATGTGCCGATTTGTACAGATCCTGGAGATAGAAGGACTTCAGACCAACCAGGGAGTTATCTGATCAGCTTGGTGTTCAATGTAACTCTTTACCATGGCTCAGACTTTGTTACTTGCAGTTACAGTTTCTCATTTTAGATTGTGCAAATTTTGCATTTGTTTTTACATGTTCTTTGTTCATGCTCTTTATAATTTTTCTGAGTTGGAAAGTTAGATTGCATCATACTTGCATACTTGCAACTTTATACATATTTGTATTCTTCAGTGGTGAAGTATATTGCAAAGCAGCTCAGCCATGTGAGAAGACTTTTGGCACTTTTTCGTTTTCTGAGTTGGAAAGTTAGATTGCATTCAAAATGTACACAAATACTTAATTTTGTTAAAGCTTTTTATAAAAAATGCTTCTGACCAGAGCTTTGTTTCCTTGTCATTAATGTTGAACACCACCAGAGGGGCTCTCACCTGAAAGGTCTCTGCTTCATGTGTCTTCAGCAGAAGATCTAGACTTTGATTGCTATATTTTCAGTTAATATTGACCTTACTGAGCTTTAGCCATATCCGCTGCCTATCATACAAAATGTTAAGTACAGTGAACCTTTCTAAAATATACAGTAGTAAAGAGACAAACCCACCAGCATTATAGTAGCCAAATTCTTGTTTGTGGGCTGTATATATAAAATTGACTTGAAAAAGTTGCTGATTTTAGAGTACTGGCACCTTTTTCATTCCAATTCAAGCACTGATTATAACATTAGCGTTAAGAAAGCTTACTTAAATATCTGCCACAACATAAGTAACCGGATCAGAGTAACATTAAGTATGCCTACAGTCCGCGGCATATCACTTCATAATGTATCATATATTTCCTTATCTGAGTCAGCTGAGCCGTATCTGGCCGTGCAACACTCACAGTGTCACATACTGTATGCAGAAGTATTATTTTAAGCAACACATTAAGTTGACGAAACACTCGAGACAAATGTAGGCTAATTAAAGTCAGATCGTGTTTTAGACGGGGCAGTGATATCATAAACCTGTTAATGTACGCATTCAAACACTTTTTCTTTTGCCAGCTGTATTCACCTTGCAGGTGCAGCTATGTGGCTTTTATCCTGGATAAAGTGTTTAAGTCATGGATGTTTAAAGTTTAACTTCTTCATTTTTGACTAGTATTAAAGTTCACTTTTCATTCAGGAAGTATGACGCTGCGCTGTCAGTACGCTTCTCCATGTTTGTGATTGGTCGAATGCTCCAAATACCACCCCTTTCATGTGAACCCGCACCTAACTAAATAGGAAACGGCTGGCTTGAGCGATCCACTTGATAACCAGCGTCGTAGTACAGTTTAGCGAGAGCGCGTATGTTTTGGATTAGGCCAACCGGCTAACTCAAACATATCCAGGTTAGGTTGAACCAGCTTCGTAGGCCCCTGGTCAGTTCGGCTGCTACGGCAACACAGAAACCACAACAATGGAGCGGTTCATCGATTTTACTTTGAGCTTGGCCTTAAATATAAAGATATAACATCAGTGCTTGGCAATAGGCACGGGTTTCACACATAGACTGTATATATAAAGGGTTTCACATAAGTGAAGACACCAGGGGCGTCGCCTGGACCTGGAAACATTCGGGGCTTAGCCCACAGTGGCGGCGCTACAGTCAAATTTTCTACTGCAAGACTCCCCACACGCACATTCACAATTGCGCCATCTGGTGTGACAAACGTGTGCCTGCATTAGCTTTGTTACGGCAATGGATTGTGGGAGATTCTCATAGCACGTGAGGATCTCTTGAGGGTAAGGTGCCTGTATTATCTCGGTGGACAAAATGTATGTTTTTATTTTATAAGGACAATAACGTACTGTTGTGTTTGTTTAGTTTAATGTTAATTGTTTAATGCTCACAGTCACAGCAACATGTTTTTAGTGTGATTGGCTATTTGTTTTATATGATTTATCAACGTGATCATCAATAGCTAATCTGAGCACCAGAACCCAGCTCACGTGTCCTTTTATGCTGTCCATTGAAATGCAGGTATGTGAGTTTTATACACCAGTTTATTTATGTTTAATGTTTCACATTGCTCCACATGATGCCTCGACTACAAAGTCTTCCATGTTTCTACGCTTCTTCCTCTGTGTCACAGTTTCGGGAATATCAAGATTATTGCACAGGGCCTTGGTCTTGTCATAGATCTCATGTGCTTTCTCGTTACTTTGGTAACTTTTCAGTGTGTTCTCAACTGCTGTTTTGTAATCTACTGCCTGCACCAAGTCAAGTGTTTCTTTCTGCAGGTATGTGTGCAGGCCCTGAGTGGTTGAGAGCAGTGTCTGGAACATGACAGCATGTAGATGGTACTGAATTTTCAAAGCTTGCTTTCCAGTCCCTTTACTAGAGGGGCTGAAAGGCTCCCTAAAGTCTTGATCAAAGCAGGGAGGTTTTTGACATGCCCAGCGAACAAGTTGTTTGTCCCCTACCTCTAGCTGTTCCTGAAATGTTTGCAATCTCTGATGGTGGACAAGAGATGTGGAGAAGAAAGAGTAGAGACACTCCAGGAGATCAACGCAGGTATGTGAGTTTTGTACACCAGTTTGTATAAGTTTAATGTTTCACATTGCTTGCGAAAAATATACTACAGCTATACGATCACTGATGTTTTGTTGTTGACTGGACACTTATTTTGTAAAAGAGATAGCATGAGAGGATCTCTTAAGCAATGCAGCTCACGTGTCCTTTTTATATGCTGTCCATTGAAATGCAGGAAAGTAATCACCAGCTCTGAGTGATCTGTTGCCGAGGGGACACTACACCGGAGTTACATAAGCAGAGATAAAGTGCTATTTTGGGGGGAATTCACCTCCTCTGGGGGGGTCCCCCAGGAAGACTTTTTTTAAATACTGAAGTTAAAAGCATCAATCTTGTGCACTTTGAGAGCAACATTAAGAGATATGGATACATCTCTCAACACCCATATGTCAAAAAAGAAATCTCAGAATCAGAAACGGGTTTATTATTTTAAAACACTTCATTTTCCAATTAAATCATAAACTATGTCAAATTATTAGAAGTTGTTAGTAATCAGATTAAACAGAAAAAAGGGATGGAAGGAGGAAATAATAATCCCTCATCTCTTGCTGTTTGCGGTTGAAATGATCTCTTTTGCTGGCCAATCATGCTGGATGGAAAGCAGTGGTGTCTCACTTGCCTTGGCCCTGTATCTGCAGTCCCTAAATCAGTCATGTTACCCATTGACTCTTGTCGGTTCTGGTGTTCCTGTTCATTGTTGTCTCCATTGTCGTTCTTGTCTGTTGTATTTCCTTCTTGTGTGTCCCTTTCTCCTGTTCTCCTTTCTTCATCCTCTACTCTGTTTGGCTCATCTGTGATGACTGTGTAGGTAAACACAAACAAGTATGTATCAGTTTCCAGCTCTGTCAAATAAATGAATTTCAAAATACACACTTCATTAAAATGAGTGTCACCACACTGTCACAAAATGTAATACTAACCAATTGAAAATAGTTAAATGTACATCTCTTGTAGATATCACTGTTATAGTAGTTATCTGCCAATAGGACAGAATCATTCCTATACAAATGCAGTTTGAGTAATTCACTTAATATATTTACTTAAAACTTTAATATAGTCATTTTCACTTAATACTCTAATATAGTCATCTTTCTGCATTCAACACTAAGGAAAGCTGTACAATTTGACATGATAATGAGGAAAAAAGGCCTCCGACAATGCAGATCATTTTTTGATCATATCAATTTTAAGATGCGGGTCAAGGCTTAATATGTGGGAGCATAGTGTCCCTTCCCCCTTTCAGGAGCCCCACTGGATTGGCTTTGATCTGAAATATTTGTATAAAAAGCTTGTTAGCTGGCTGTCCATCTCATAATGTTCACATAGAAACTAGCTGTCAATAGGAAATATCAATCAGAAGAATTATATTTTCATGCAAAATCTGTCACAAAAAGAGGTTGCACATTTAAATGCAGGTGTTGTTATGGCAACGTCAGTGGCCAAACAGCCACATTTACTACTGCGGTCAACTCAGCCGTCTCTCAAATTTGCTTGGTCAAATGAGCAGTTCTTCATTTCTGAGTGCGCGATTTATAGCGCCTTTACGGTAATCGCTGAGAAGCGGCACTAACGCAAGAGTAAAAATAATGCATGTTTTTTCTGCTTCATGCGATACAAATTATTTTTACCATGAGTTCTTAAAAAAACTAACACTGTTTGACTCAGTCCTAGTTTGACTGCTACCAACAATAAAATGAAGTACTTTTACTGTCTTTTTTCTGGGTAATACTCTCAAATTCCCCTCCTGAGAACAAAATCATGCAACTTCTGCTATATTTGATGAGATAAAATGATTTTTATCGATGCATCCTTAATAAAAGTGATACTGTTGGACTCAGTACTTGTTAGACTACTACCACAAGTACAATCAAGTACTTTTACTGTGTACTTTTGAGTAGTCCCCTGTCAAACTCCCCTCCAGAGTACAATAATGCATGTTTTCTGCCCTCTTTGATGAGAGATAAAATGATTTTGTGCAATAAGTTCTTAATGTAATTGGTACTGTTGGATTCAGTACTACTTGGACTACTACCAAAACTACAATCAAGTACTTTTACTGTGTACTTTTGAGTAATCCTTTGTCAAACTCCACCCCTGAGTACAATAATGCATGTTTTCTGCCATCTTTGATGAGAGATAAAATGATTTTGTGCAATAAGTTCTTAATGTAATTGGTACTGTTGGATTCAGTACTACTTGGACTACTACCAAAACTATAATCAAGTATTTTTACTGTGTACTTTTTGAGTAATCCTTTGTCAAACTCCACCCCTGAGTACAATAATGCATGTTTTCTGCCATCTTTGATGAGAGATAAAATGATTTTGTGCAATAAGTTCTTAATGTAATTGGTACTGTTGGATTCAGTACTACTTGGACTACTTCCAAAACTACAATCAAGTATTTTTACTGTGTACTTTTTGAGTAATCCTTTGTCAAACTCCACCCCTGAGTACAATAATGCATGTTTTCTGCCATCTTTGATGAGAGATAAAATGATTTTGTGCAATAAGTTCTTAATGTAATTGGTACTGTTGGATTCAGTACTATTTGGACTACTACCAAAAGTATAATCAAGTACTTTTACTGTGTACTTTTTGAGTAATCCTTTGTCAAACTCCACGCCTGAGTACAATAATGCATGTT